TAATAAATATTCCTTGGTTTCACTGGATGGTGGGGCAGCATTTTTCCCCATACAAGTCTGATGTATCAGTGACTTAATTACTTAACATTTCTCACAGAAAAAGTCATGGAAGAGAGAAAGAAATTATTGAAGGAAGAAGGGGAGCTTGAAAAAATCCAAAAGAAAAGATACCTGGATTTTCTGGATATACTTCTTTTTGCCAAGGTGAGAATCTTCAACTGTGATGCAATAAAAACTGTTTTGCACTGTCAGAAGACACATAAACTATCCCACAAAATAATTATTTTTAATCTGTAGTAAAATACATGTGCAGGCAGATGAAGGAATGAAAAGGGAATGTCTCTGGAATGTTCATCACTTAATTTTATCCTGGATTTTGGAATTTCAGGCTGTCTAGTACTGTTTCTGAGGCGTAATAATCCCATGAGAAGTCTCAGAGAGAACAGGATTAATGAAAGATATGTTTCTGCTTGAAAAGTAGATGGTGCCTTTCTCCATGGGCTAACAAAACCAAATATCTCTTCCATTCCATAACTATGGATATATTTTCTTCCTTAACCTCTATTTACTCATCTAACAGTTAAGTGTCTTGCTTCATCAGGATGAAAATGGTATGGGGCTCTCTGATGAAGATCTGCGTGCTGAGGTGGACACTTTCATGTTTGAAGGCCATGATACTACAGCCAGTGGGATCTCTTGGATCTTATATGCTCTGGCCCAAAATCCAGAACACCAACAAAGATGCAGGGAGGAAATAAAGGAGACCTTAGGGGATCGAGACACATTTCAGTGGTGAGAGCTCTGACCTAGTCCGTCTCTGGTTATTTGTTTGCTTGTTTGTTTTATTTTGTTATGGAATACTTGAGAGGGAAAGCACATCCACTTTCTGATTTTGAGGTCTAGAATTAAAAGTTCAGTTTAGTGGGGTTTAATTCTTTCTCTGACTCCCCAGCACTGAACTTGGAAAGACTTCCTGAATGAACTGCAAAATCCTAAGTATATTTACCTCTCAGTAGACATTGACAAGATTTGGACATTACTGAGTTTCCCCAACGTATTACCAAATGAATCTGAGGTAAAACTGTGAAATTCAGCTGAGATTCCTAGATGATCTTCCCTTCATTTTTATCCCACTCCCCATCACAACAAGCCCTATTCATCCCTTACTAGTTTTATAACTTTTGGGATAAAGATGAGAAACTTGTTTCCTCCCCCTGCTCCTGTCCTTGAATCTCTGTCCGACTAGCATGACAGAGATGTTGGGAATGGCAGTTCAGCAGCAACTGTAGTGGGGTCCATAATTTCCCCACCTGTGTTTTAGGAGAAACTGTTCACATGCTTCCATGTTTTGACATGCAACTTAAAACTTTCTTCTTCCTGGGGTGAGGGGGTGGAATGATCCATATACTTAGTTTTCAGATAAATTTACAGGGCTATTTCAGATGTCAGTACTGCTGTATGTACATTCACTTGGCTGAAGATGCCTGGTACTGTCAACACCAGAACAAAACAAACAAGCAAACAAACAAACAAACAAACAAAAACCACAATAAAGAGGTGTGGTACTCCTGCAAAATAAAAAAATATATAATGGATAATATTTTTATCGGACCACTAAAATCTCACAAACTTTCAAATGTTGCAGGATCTTAATTGGGCTGGAATTATTTTTCTGTTTCTCTGCTTCTCCAAGCCCATCCTAATGAAGAGCCTGCACGTCTTGAATGCTAGCCTGTTGGTGAGATTTCAGTGGTCTAATAATAAAGCTGCCACCCATAGTGGATTGTGGGGGAAAGAGTGGTTTAAATATATTTCATTTGATCCTTACAGGGATGATCTGGGAAAGATTCCCTATACCACTATGTGTATAAAGGAAAGCCTACGTCTTTACCCTCCAGTCCCTGGAGTATCCCGACAGCTTAGCAAACCCATAACCTTTTGTGATGGACGCACCTTGCCTGAAGGTTAGTTCAAACTTTTGTGTGGACCACAATTTACTTTCTGAAAGGGCCTTTACTAGGATGCATAGAATGGTTTGGGTGTGATCCAACCAAAAGTAAAAGCTTTTGATTGTTTATTGTTTAAATCAGTGAGACTAAGAAGCATTTAACTTGATTGCATTGTCCCTAAACACATAAAAGTTGTAAAGGTAAAGGTAAAGGTTCCCCTTGACATTTTTAGTCCAGTCGTGTCCAACTCTAGAGGGCAGTGCTCATCCTGTTTTCAAGCCATAGAGCCAGCCCTTGTCCGAAGACAGTTTCCATTGTCACGGGACCAACATGACTAGGGAACGCCATTTTACCTTCCCACCAATATGGTACCTATTTATCTACTCGCATTTACATGCTTTCGAACTGCTAGGTTGGCGAGGAGCTGGGACAAAGCGACGGTCGCATGGATTCGATCTTACGACTGCTGGTCTTCTGACCCTGCAGCACAGAGGCTTCTGTGGTTTAGCCTGCAGCACCACCACGTCCCTCTCCATAAAAGTTGTGACCTGATTTAATAAAGTTGGTTTAATTCCAAGTGGTATTGTGAATTTCAGGATCTAAAAATATACCTATATGAACAGAGGAGGCCACCTTTCTTTTGGAACAATCACTTGATCATATTTGCCCAGTATTGTTGGCATTGAAGGTTTGGTATTCTACAGGGTTCAAGCAGGATTCTTTCCTAGCTGTACCTGAAGATGCGGAGAATTCAACTTGAAATTTTCTGGGTGCAAAGCATGGACTCTACCACTGACAGTGAAAGTATTCAATTACAGTTCTCTGCTATTGAGATTAATCTTTCTCCCTTTATCTTGCAGGTACATTGGTAGCAATTAACATTTACTGCATCCACCGAAATCCAAGCATATGGCCAGACCCAGAGGTAACTCCTAAATTGGATAAAAGCAGACAATACCAGTCATAACTAGTTTCAAAAGCATGATATAACAAACCCTAGCCAGGATGGGCAAAATGTAGAAACTGGCAGTTCCACAGGGGCATTTTTGTGCCTCCCTGGGAGCTTCACGGAGCTCCTGGAAATTAAAACAAAATTCAGTTACTTCCTCTTTGGTTAGTTCTTTAAATAATGACTAGCTTTAGGCTTTCCTTGGCTTGGTGTGGCTTGGAGGGCTGGGTACTGAAATGCCCTTCCCTAATTAAAGATCAAGGTGCTTGCAGGTCAGGCCTATATCACACCATTGGCAGAGTCACTCATGGAAATTTACTGAGGCTGAGACAGAGTTTGTAAAGGATTTGTGATACATTGATTTGTTGCTGTAAATTCATTGCTATTGTTTAAATACTAATTCTTTCATTCAGCAACAGTGTGACTGGAAGGCCAGGGAAAACCACCATGTTGTATCTCTCTCACATACTTCTTATGTTTAGACAGAAATGTAAAAAGGTGCTGTGCTCCTAGCAGAGTTTAAATGGCCAGAAGATGCTAAAAAATCTGGAGGGAAAGTTAGATTAGGAGCGTATAATGCTCTGATTATGCATTTTAAAAGGGGGAAAACATGTATCTGTGGAAATCTGCAAAAGACAGGACAAATATGAATAATGTAAGGAACCAAATAAATTATATCCTAGTTAATGAGGCACTAAAATCATGTCACATCCAGTTACTGATATAAATTCAGGTGATATACTTGTCATTGTTGTAGTTTGCCTCAAAATAAAGAAAACATTTAAAAGGTAAAACATATATACTCAACAGCTAAGTGACCCAATTGTTGTTATGAAGGCGACTAATAAAAGCACCAATAAGATCTGACATTGAAATAACACTGATATAAATGCTACTTGCTGTAAACCGACACGGGGGTATGTAGGTGTGACGAAGAACTTCAGAAGTAGAAAAGTGTGTGAGACAAGAAATATTACAGGTAATGGAAGACATAAAAATGGAGGAATAAGATAACAGCAAAACCACAGCTTTACACAAAAATCCAAAACAGAAATTAAGGCAGCTGAAGAAAAATTATGTGCAGCTGAATAATGTACAGAAATAGAAAACTTATTGAAAGTCGACGTCTCCTTTAAATGTGCATAAAATGATCAAGGAGATAACAATATTTGCAAAGGAAAAAAACCTGACAATGGCCACTTGTTTGCTCTGTATCATGATAAATCTGTAACCACATAAATGTTGCTTTGTGTAAAGTTCCTATCAGTGGATCCCAGGTTTGCACACACAGCTTAAGTGTCAGCTTTAATAACATCAAAGCATCTGAAAGATACACTGCTGAAGCATTTTATTGTGGAAGATTGTGTAAAAATATGCTTATTGTCGAAATAGAAGTTTGGCAGATGGAAATGTTAACAAAAGACCCTTGCTTTCTCTAATCCTAGGTATTTGATCCTACCAGGTTCTCATCAGAAAAGTCATCTCAGAAGCATTCCCATGCTTTTGTGCCATTTGCAGCCGGACCAAGGTGTGTATTCTTCTAACTTTCTGGGCTTAAATAGAAAATTGGAAGCAAGTGAAAGAAGTGGGGAAAAAATTAAAACAAATAAACAAACCAAAATGTTTGGCAATATTACCATTGAAACTATTGAAATTTGACCTAAACGAAATAGTGGATATTTTATCCCGTTCTTTGTTTGTTTTTTGTTGTTTTCAATTTGAGCGATAGGTGAATTGCAGTTATGCAATTCAGTACCTTTTCGTGAAGATGCATCTATATGCAAAGAATTTTATTGACATATTTGTACAATTTTGCTTTAAAATAATTCTTACATTTAAGAAACAAAGCTGTAGGTGCAGTTGCTTAAAATATGTGGAAAGAGAACTTAAGCTCTAAGTATATATTTAAGCAAAAAAAATACAAGCTCAAAAGCACAACAAAATAACAAAAAGAATATTTTAAATTATATTGTAAATATAGGAGCACATTGCCCAAAACGGCAGAGAAAACATCTCTAGAATATATCATTTAAAAATAAAAAACACCATCATGATTCTAAAAGCCTTTAGCAGACTTAAAAAGTGTTTTGTAAAAGCATGGGAAAATATCTGAGTTCTTAACATAGGAATATATAAAATGAAAACACTTCTTAAGCCTTAAACATCAATACATGATGTTGTCACCCATTTTTAGGCAGCTTATAGTGAAAACTTCTACAGTATCCTTTGTTGATATTCTGGTGACTCATGCATGTTTTAAATATGCACTCTGTCACAGATACTTCATCCTTTGAGCGTGGTGTGGGTTATTTATGTCTTCTAATCTTTGTTCACTTAATTCTACCAAGAAGTAGCGGATGTAGCTTTGCCACCCAATGGGAATGTCCCCTGTCATTAAGCAGGGAAATAAACATTCTATGTCGTCATTTTCACTTCCAAAATACGATGTATTGACACCAATTGCCCATCAGATGTCAGCATTTACTGTTTTCATCTCTGTGGTGTAAAGATTAGGATGGAAGGATAGCAGAACAGGAGGTTGCCAAAGAACTGCTTGCCAGACAGGATGGTAGTAAAAAAGGTTTTCATGCCATAAAGTTTAAAAGTACTATACTTTTCAAGCAGTCTTTTTTAAGGAGTTTTTGTTGTAACACTCTTAAACAGACAAGAGGGGGCATTCAAAGGCAGACATGTGGAGATCATACATTCTCTGTGAGATCCTCTGTGTTTCATAGGAGTACGTTTTCTCTTCTCCCAGGAATTGCATCGGGCAGCAGTTTGCCATGAATGAGATGAAAGTGGCTGTGGCCCAAACCCTCCTTCGATTTGAAGTCTTGCCAGATCCGTCAAGGCTGCCTGTTCCAGTTCCTCAGCTTGTCTTGAAGTCGGATAATGGTATACACCTCTTGCTGAGGAAGCTCAAGTGAACTACCACTCTTGTTGTTTCACTGCCATGGTTTTCGAATACAAACTACCATTTTCCACCGCACCCGTCTATCACCTGTTGTGTCCCAACATCATATTGTCAAGTTGCATTGCTTTACTTAGTGTGATTCAATTGTAGCGAAAAGAAGGGAGAAGGCAAGAAGATATATGGGGACAAAAATAGCAAAGAAGGAATAAGGGGAAAGGAAATATTTTTTTTAAAGAGGGGGAAATGATAAAAGTAAAATAGTAAACCATTGTGTTATAGAGTGTTAATTAAACAGGGAGAGTAGTATAATCCCACTTTCCCGAGCACGCAGTTATTCCACATAAAATTCAGTGAAGGTGTGTTAAAATCCTACAGAATTTTGTCCCTCTTTTTGTAAATTAGTGACATATTTTACACTAAATAAAGGTCCAATTTTTAAAAGATTAGATGTTTATCTGTGTGAATCTGGCAAACGTCTTGAAAACAGCTTGAAGCAGTTACTTTTTGGATTGCACCTTCTAGAATCCCATAGAAAGGATAGTCAGTAGCCGTGCTGTTTGGAGGATTCTGGGAGTTGTAGTATGAAGCCAGGTTTGTGCTTTTAAACCATTCATGCAGTGGAATAGAGCTTGGACACCTTGGCATTTGCACAGGTAGATATTCAGGTCTGCTGTGTGCAAGTGATGTGTTTATTGCTTGCATTGCAGAAACAAGCACCACAATTTTGTTGGGAGTTTATCTTCTACTAATGTTTCATTGAGTGTTGTCCATAAAAAGCAGCTTTACTAGCAGTGCTCCATCTGTGTTGCAAGTCCCACTTACTGCATATATGACCCATATACTGTCTGTTCATTACTAACAAGGACTACATAGCCACATTGGGTTCTTTTAAGGAGAAAGATGGAGTTAAAAATATTTTAAATAAAATAATGTTAATAATAAAAACTAGACTATGTGCCTTCACATTCATCCAAAATACACTATTTGATACATCTGTAAGAGAGGTACAAGAGTAGGTTGCAGCTACCTTCAGCTCTAACATTGCTCCTCTAGGACTGTGGATCCCAACCATGGGTCCCCAGAAATCCTGACCATCACAACCACCGGTGAAGCCTTCTTGGAGTTTTGGTACAAGAACATCTAGGGATCCAAGGTTGCGGACCAATGCTCTACGGTCATGAGCCCCATTTTTGAAAGTGTATTGATGTGTTTTTGCATAATATTCATTGCCTCAATCTCAGTTTAATATCTAATGTAGACAAATTAATCAATTCATGAAAAGTCTTTTAACTTGAGAGTAAATTTTGCATTCCATTTATCCCTTCTAGGGTCCAAGTTAGAGGCTAAAGATTTTTCTGATTGATTCATGCATGAATGTATTCCTTGCAGATAAAGGAAAAAAACATTTGTACCAGCTGGAAGCTCTGTTGCATTTAGTGCATTGGGATCAAATTTTACTGATATATTAATATGCTTAAATTGAAAGCAGTGCTGGAGGATAGGCAATCAAAATTCATCTCCAGTTTCTCCTGATGGCTAAAAGACATCTTTAGTTAGTAGCTGAATTAAATTAGTTATGCCATTTTCTTCCCAGGTTTACTGTATGATTGGTTTGTGTGCAATAAAAATATGAAAATTGCTGCATAGTTGGTGCATATTATGTTGGTGTTATCAGCACTTTCGAAGCCTGCTTAGTGGGCCCCACTGTGGGATTGTTGAGCATAGAGAGGTAGCGATATAGTGAATCTGAAGTCACCTAGCTCTGCAGTGGAATCTGAAGTCACCTAGCTCTGCAGTGGAATTACAGTGTTTCCTGCTATTTCAGCCCATTCAGGGATATTATATTCTGAACCACTTGCCAATACTTTAGGATCAAGGTCTATTTATGATGCCCTGCCCTGGAAATGGAAGAACCCCGAAGCCTTTTTGTTGCCTCATTATCAATTCTGTCAAAGCCTGGTTGACCTCTGGAAAGGGGAGATAGCTCGGGCCATAGACTTGGTTCCCCTGAACATGAAATTTCTTCAAACAGAGCCAAAATGGTACCCTAATTTTCTGGGGATCAATTGATGAAACAAGTGGGGTGGCAGCCAAGCAATATGGTTGAAGAATAAGTCTGATGAAACCAGCTGGAGCCTATTGGAATATGTATTCTAATACTATAATGAAAATGAAGACATTGTTTCAACCCTCATTGCCTTTATTTTTTCCATTACTAAGTTTGCACAGTTGTCCAATAAAGTTTTCTTAAGTGACTGGATGCTCTGGTCCATGAGATGAGAATGCAGATCATGGAACAATCTATTGTGAACAATTTGTACAATAGTTATGGACAAAATTACATAGACACATTCTGTCTTGGACACTAATTAATATGGGTCCAGTCGAAATAGGTCACTGCTTCTCCAGTTATAATGAATACTTTTCAATTTATACAGCCCAATGATGGAAACAGGTCATTTCTGGAGAGTTTAAAGTGACTGTAAATGTGCGGAATCCTTTTTTGCTCTTATTCTTCATTGAAGTAGCCAGTGGGGACTAACAGTGTGGGTAGAGGACCTTTCCAGTGTGCCTAAAGAGGCAGCAGTAACACTGAAAAAGCCTTCCCAGAACCTCAGCATGTTGGCTAATCTCCAGTCATTCTCTAACATGTAGGTTTTTTATTCAATTGTATTTTAATATTAGAGTCTCATAGTTTTATATGTGCTTTTAAAAAATCATTTTGTGAGCTGCTCTGAGTCCCAGTTTTGGGGGAAGGGCAGGATACAAAGCAGATAAATAAATCATAATACACATTGAACAAATATATTGGATATTTTATTGTTATAAGAACAAGACATTGTGTTGCCAGTCCTCTGGATACTCTTACCTCCCACATGCCAAGTGTCACCTCCTCACCAAGTTCAATGAAAGCTCGTCGTGCAGTCAATGTTTTTAAATAAAAAAATCTGTCATACTAACGCTATACCAGATTGCAAGAAATAAATGGGGAAAAAAGTAAAATTAACACCATAGCAACAGCAGCAGCTAGTGGATGAGAAGCAGTCGGCCTGAAAGCAACCATTCGAAAAGCTTGTGTAGCCTCCTCAACTGTTCTAAAACACAGCTTACAAACAGATTAAAAGTTTTCGCAAGAGGACATACACAATGACTACTGTTTCCTCTCCCAAATCATTTTCACAATGTAACCACACCCTAAGAGGGATTTTAAAACAGAATTGTTTGTATTTGTTGTTGCTTTAAGTCTGTTTTGGCAATGGGTTTACCTAACATTTTTAATATAATGTTAATTTAATTCTTTTAAAATATTTGAACTATTTACTGTTTTTAGCTTTTAATATTGTGTTTTTAATGATATATACCACCTTGAGTCCTTTTTAGGAAAAAAAGAGGTATAAAATATTTGAAATAAATATAATAAAGTAAACATTTGCTGCAGCTCAGTCTGTTCTATCATTGTTAATACTTCGTGTGTGGAGATGGATATTTCCATAGGCCTGTCAGATGATTTCCGTTTGCACCTGTCCTCGGCACTTGGGCTGCCTCCCTGTATGGTTCTCGTGAACTGAGAGCAAGCAAGATGGTTATGTTCTTGTTTCTTAAGTCATAATTTCATGAACATAAAGGGTTTCTCTGAGCAACTGAACCATCCTGTTTTGATCACAGATGACAGCTTATGGCACCTTTCACTCCAGCCTTTTCAAAAACAAAAAAGCATTGTGTTCTCACTATGAGATTACTCTTGTGTGGATAACAGAATATGTACTCCATGTAGTGTACTGGATAAAGTGATGAACTAGGATTCAAGATGCCTGGGTTCAAATCTCTTCAAATCACCATGGAAGCTCATTGGGGAGTAGAACTCCTTAAAACACCCCTCAGATACAGTGATGCCCCACATAACTGGCGCCCCGTTTAATGACGAATCCGCATAGCGATTAAGTTTTTGTGATCGCAAAAGCGATCACATTGCAATGTTTTAAATGGTAAAACATCGCTTTGCGGTGATCCGTAAGCTGTTTCGCTTACCAATTTTTGCATAGCGATGTTTTTAGAACAGCTGAACGGCGGTTCCAAAATGGCCGCCAGGTAAAAAAAAATGGCCACCCGTTGTGTTTTTGCGCCCATTCCTTGCTTACCGGGCAGCGAAAATGGCAGCCATATGGAGGATTTTCGCATAACAGTGAGGTTTTTGCCCATAGGAACACATTAAACGTGCTTTAATGCATTCCTACGGGCTTTTTTGTTCCGTATAGCGATGGATCCATATAGCGACGATGTTTCCGGAATGGATTATCGTCACTATGTGGGGCACCACTGTATCTTACTTACCTTGAAAGCCCTGTTAGGGCTATTATAGGTTGTTCCAATTTGACAGCACATAACAATAACAGACAGAATAATACAATGAAAGCATGACCTCTCAGATTAATTACAACCCTCTTATATTTCTATCTCAGATACCTGCCATCCCTTTATTTCTGTATCACAATCAGATCAACCCCACAAGTTCAAAATAATGACTATAACCATCATCATATCTTGTCTAAGAATCCGCAACAGAGTGATAACCTGACATTTGCTCAAAATCTTCACAGGATTTCTGAAAGACAGAGCAACCTGAAGGACACTCAAGTTCTCTCCTTTGGTATTTTCTACAGTTTGAAGTAAAAAGGCAGTTGGTGGTTCTTCTTGCCACTGCAGTTGTGTCTGAATTATAATTAAGGCAAACAATCTGTTAATTGATCATTGTTGTTGCGTTAAGGCATTGTGTTAGCTGTAATACCCAGGATTACAACAGGATTAATGACAGCAGGATGAGAAGAAGAAAGACTGGAATCTCTGAATGCAAGAGGTATTACTTAATCAATGTCGCTTTTTTCTGATATATTTTTCAAATACTAAAGTTTCTCAGGAAAATTTAATTTCCACGTCTATGATTTTTTAAATAGATTGTTGGGGTGGCATTGTCCTTTCAGTGCTTTTTTTCTGCTGAGGAAAATGTTCTGGGTTGATGTCCACAGCTGGAACTGTGGGTTTTTGAGAGGGTAGCCTTGAGAATTTCGGCACCAGCTCAGGAGGGACACGACCAACTTTGCTGGATGCATTTAGCAGCATCATGATGTATCAAGGCAGTTTCTTCAGCTTCAGGTACATCCCATTCTCAGGATGTATGGAAATCTGAACCACAGGAATTGCAGGCTTTGCTAGATCCGGTTCCAGCTCAAACTTGAGCAAAGTCAAAGCAAGAGTGATCTTCATTTTTATCATGGCAAACTGCTGTCCTATGCAGTTCCTGTGCAAAAAGAGAGGAGAAACAGAATGACATTTTGAAAGACATAAAAATAAAATATTAAACCAAAAAAGAAAAAGAGGACAGAAGTAAAAGGGTGGGGGGAACTACCTGTTTTGATATTGTACCACTTCAAATGCAAGGAAAACATTTTTCATGTTGAATCTACATTTTTATCTACCGTGAATCGCCTGCAAGATTGCTGAGAAAATGGACTTGTCCATGATAGCTCAAACTAAAATATAGCAATTAGTCTTCAAGGTGCCGCAGCACGTTTGCCTTCTTTATTTTTTTATTTTTGCTTTGTTTCACCTGATATGCATACCTGTAAGATAGCTAGCTTTATGGTATGTCTGCTGTGTCTGGGCTGGCCCTGTGATAAAGGCAGGAAGGAGTGAAGGCCAGCTGATTACAGCAAATGGGCCAGTGTCCCCCTTGTGACTCATGCTATCCCCCTCCAACCATCCCCCTCCTGGCTTTCACCCTACTTGCAGGAGGTGTTCCCCTCCTGCTCTGCATAAACAGGAGAGACGGGAGTAGAAAGAAAATCAGAGTGTGAATGAATGAGATAATTAGTAAACTGCTGAACTTCGAAACCAGACATGGAGGTGAGCAGCATGGGAATATTTCCAATTTCATGCAAGACATGTTTTGCTAGATCTTTGTTGAATTGTAGAATGACCAAATAAAATGAATGTGTGTGCTTTACTGTCTGAGTGAATGCCTACCTGCTTCTGTGTGCAAATGTGCATGAACATGTATGTGTACATGTGCATTAAAGCCAACTTTTCCCACTGGCTTGCCTTCTCATCCTTTACTCTTTTCACAAGAGGGATGATAGAATCTGAACTATTTGTCTACATTTTTGGAGAAAACTGTGGGTCACCCTGCTGCAAACTATTCATTACAACTTTAAAAATGATTCTCACCATATCAAAAGCCACAATAAATCATCCAGTAACATAATAAAAGTTCGATATAAACACAGCAAAATATAAAGACAACAGTGATTACTAACAGTATATTCCAAAATAGCTGAGAACATTAAGCTGGCAAAAAAACCCTATTACCTGAAGAAAGAAAATTCCCTCAGCAAAGTTTGGGAAACAGTTTGAAATGAAAGTTTACTGTTATGCTAAAATGGAAAAAGGAAAAGTAAGCCAGGTAAAGGTTGCTCAGAATATGAACAGGTTTGGAGCAGAATGATTCCATGGTGTAACTTAGGGCTGATGTAACTTCGATTTGGCTTTAGCACCTGGCGTGAAGAGCACAGTGTATCTTTCTGTGCCCCTACATAGACCAATGCAGCATGTGTGTACGAAGCTGAGAATTACTGTGTGTATGGATTTCATGTGAGAATTCTGACCCGTAGCTCATCCTTGTCCTAGGATCATGCAGATTTATAGCTGCTCTTCCTTTCTTCTTACATGAAGAGAAGGGATTGTGGATTCAGCAGTGTTTCTTCTGCAAAGCTTCTTCAAATTCCAAACCCCACTAGAATGTCAGGTTTAGAGTGTGTACCCCACAGAAAGTATGTAATTGTAATGGCTGGAGCTTTCCCCACTTTCCATATCTTTCAAATTAGCTTGCTTTTTTCTTTGGCTTGTCTTTGGATGCTTGCCATAGCTTTATTTGCAGGTCTGATTTCTCAGACATGAAGATTTTCACATACCATGGGGCTATAACCCAGCTCTAAGAACAGATTGTCTTCAACATACAGTTTGGCCCTCAGATCTACCTAAACAAGGCACCAGGTTTGTGATATTTGTTATGAACACAGGACTTCCACAGGCTTTGGCAAGCCCACTATTGATCCAGAGACGGCATGTCCTCACAAATAGAATTACATGGTGATCAGAATATATTGAGTGATTTTTAAAACATTAATAATTTCAGACTTAAGTAGGATTCAGTGGCATTTGAGTCACTGAATTCAGCTGGGGAAATGGGAGAAACAAGGGGAAATGCTTCATTATCCCCCTTTTTTCATTTTAAAATGTTGAAAACATATGAGTCAAAATCAAATAACTCAAAGGTGGGGGACCTTTTCAATAAAACAATTATTTAAAAAAATAAGATGTTGTGGAGGATTTTCTTACACTGAAGTGCATTCAACATCATTGATTCTGTTAGTGGTCTTAAAATACGATGTGTGTATCCATGGAGCAGTGTATAAAAGCCTACAGTATGATTCCTGTATTCTGGAATAGCTCAGTTGTATCACACAAACAGTCCAATCCTCTGCATTTCTACTAAGATCCAAGTCATACCAAGATCTAAACAGTGAGAACTGCTCTTAGGTAAAGGATGCATCTGAAGAAGTAGGCTGTAATTCACGGTCACATTGGGGGAAAAACATGGTATCCTTAAAGATGTCACAATCATTTTGTTTTTCATGCCTTAAGTAAATCTGAACAGGACCTCCCCACAATTGCCAGTAAAGTTGTGTTGTACCCCCATTTATTAAATGAAGTAACAAGCTATGCAGATGAGGCCCCAGTATGGACAACTTGCCCACTGGTGGCATAACTGCTTTGCTGCATGAAAATAAACAAATTAGAGCAATGGACACTCTCAGCCAAACTGGATATTTAGTAATAAACCAAGAAATATTAATACCTTGGACCAACAGAGAAAGGCATAAAATCATAGGGACGGCGCAAATGTGAATTCTCTGGTGAAAATCTCATGGGATCAAATACCTGAAAGAGAACATGTAAAATATAAATGTATTCATTCATTCATTCATTTAAAATACTTTTTCTCCACCTTTTTCCTTATAAGAACCTAGGGTTGCTTATATCATTAAAAGACAATATTAAAGCTAACAACAGTGAGTATACTAATACTAGGTAAAGGTAAAGGTTCCCCTTGACAATTTTTGTCCAGTCGTGTCCGACTCTAGGGGGCGGCGCTCATCCCTCTCTTCAAGCCATAGAGCCAGCGTTTGTCCGAAGACAATCTTTCCGTGGTCACATGGCCAGTGTGATTTAGACACGGAATAAAAATAGAACATCAAAACATGTTTGAAGGAGTAAGGTACAACAATCCATTTCAAGAACCCCGCACAGGGAGCTATATATATATATTTGCCATACTCTGAAAAACAAACCCTGTATTTACTTAATGCATTGAACCAGCTATCTACATATGCCAGCCATTATATGAAGAAGCCCTTGTATTAAAAGAAAGAAAGAAAGAAAGAAAGAAAGAAAGAAAGAAAGAAAGAAAGAAAGAAAGAAAGAAAGAAAGAAAGAAAGAAAGAAAGAAAGAAAGAAAGTTTTCCTGTCATTTCTTAAAAATAAGGGTTATTGGACTTACAGTCTGAAACATCAGGAGTGCACCAGATTGTGTGGTCCATGTTAACTATCCTCATGTCACTTTTCCCTCGTGCCAAGCACAAGAAGGGATTTCAAGATATGTGAGCCATTTAAGCACTTATTTTGCCTGTGCAACCCCATTCCTCCCTCTCCCCCCCCGCCCCGCAGCCATGAGTTTCCATGGCCAAGCAGAGACTTGAATCCTGGTCTCTTGACTTCTAGTCAAATGCTTTATTCAGCACACTATACTGTCTCTTCATGCACCAGCCTGCTTATCCCCAATATAAGTAACCTATTATTATATTCTCATACCGTGAATAGTTGTTATCCAGTGACATTTGTAACAACATTGTGTAGGGGTTGTAAATGCTCTTACCCACCAAGAAGGTTATATTTAATTGTCCAAATTGTCCTGATCTATTCAATGATTAACCAGTTGCAAGTGTTATTTTAAATACTCCAGAAGACCTAGGCTCATTTTACTTGGGGTTTCTTCAGCTGGCTTCGGTTTCCTTTTGTTTCCTGTTCGTGTTTATCTTGCTGTTTCATCGGTGCAAGATACTGCTGTTATTTAGTAAACTTGTATTGCAGCATGTGTCCAGCCCCTACACATTACCTGAAACTTCTATTGTTAGCCTATAACATAAGCTCAAGCCCATAAGCTTAAACTAGAGATTCCACACATGTGTGTGTATAACTTTTCCTTCATTGCTTTATTAAAATGCTAAGGGAAGGGTTTTAAAATTGACTTCAGGAATAGAAATATGTCATGTTCAGGTTTATTTTCAATCAACATTTTGCTCAGGTGCTTTCCTTTCTGTTAGAAGAGGACACTGAACAGGTTGATGAGAAATCCTCTTTCATTCTTCCTGCTAAATACTGCGAAATCCTCTTTCATTCTTCCTGCTAAATAATTAAAAAAAACTTTGGAGAAAACTAGGTACCTCAGGATTGTTCCATATTTCAGGGTTTCTGTGGATGCCATATATACTTATTCCAACCAGGAGGTCTGAATGGAAGAAGAACAATTCATTGTAAAGCAATGTATAACATTTGCTGCATGTTTAGTCTATAATCTCAGTATGGATGCTGGCGATGCTGTACACTGAAACACCAGCTGTACTCTTTCTTGGGGAGAAACGGTCAGGCCACTGTTGCTCATCCCTTCACAGTACTGAAAGAAGCTACAGGAAGCTTTGTATAGGGGTCCTTATGGAAAATATTGAGAGAATGAAAAGGCTGGTCTAGAACTGACCTGTCTGGATTAGAGACGGGGATGAACCGCCAAAATGGCAGTTTGTCGTGGTCCGTGGGTCATCAAGGTTGGTCGGATTGTCACCTATGACCCAAGGATTTTCCCAGGAATTTCCAACAAACCTCGAATCAGTTCACTGGTTCGTTGTGGTTTTTTTCTAGACAGCCTGTGGCTGTCTTAAAAATAGGCTGAGGCCACCACCCCTTTCCCACTGCCCCTCTTTGCCTCAGCCTGCCAGTGGCAGTGGTGGCAGGAGCAGCACTGGAATGGAAACCATGGTTCCAGTTGGCAAACCTTTTCTCGCTGCCTCTGTGCCACTGATTAGCTGATCAGCACCCACAGAGGCAGAGGGATGAGGTTAGCCAGTTGACGTGGTTCTGGCTGGCTAGCATGCTCTCTCTGCCTATGGGCCAGGCTAGTTGTGCAGAAATGTGTTGATTAGTGGCCACAGAGGCAGAGAAAGCACATGAACCCCCCAGAATGGCAGTTTTCTTTCCAGTGGAGGTGATGGCTGTAGCAGTGGCCAGAGCAACAGGATAAGGTAGGGAGATGGTGGCGGGGCAGTGAGAAGCAGGCAGGGGCGGGCTGTGGGGGCAGAGAGATGGACCTGACGAACAGCTGTTCGGTGGGCCCATAGGCAGAGAGAACAAACTAGGCTGCTGGAACAGTTGTTCCAGCAGCCTAGCTTGTTTTTTGGATCCAGGCTCAATGAAGGGATGAATAAAAAGGGGTAAATATTTGTCACTTCATATTTGTCAGGGCCTCTGGTATGGATGATCATATTATGATCATATACTGATCATATTACAGACGCAGAGTCTGTCACCCTGTCTTATGGAAAATAGGACCTCATCCACATGCATTCCCAGACCAGTTTCAAACTGAAAGTGGTGAAAGAAGAAAGAAAAAATGGTAACCTTGTGGGAGAGTTCGACCCTCCTCAAAAGTCAAAGGTGACTTCAGTAATCGAAGCAGTAGACTTATTGAAGGATAAAGTCGAAGCGTCTCCTTAATGCACATGGTGGTGTATGTCATTTTCTTCAGATCATCCCTGTAATGGAACAGAAAAATATTAGAAAAATTCACCAAAGAAGAGACAAGAACTGTTCAAAGTCTTCCCCCTGCCAAATAAAATAAAATAAAATAAATAAAAATTCAACGATAAACCTGAGCAGAAATAGTTTATTTATTATTTATTTTTATTTAAATTATTTATATGTCACCTTTCTCCCCATAGGGGACCCAAGGCAGCTCACAACAACTAAAGTAAGAAATTTAAAAACACTATAGTAATATCACATTTAAAAACAATTAAAATACCGTATTTTCGCTCCATAAGACGCACCTTTCCATAAGACGTACCAGTTTTTTAGGAGAAGAAAACAGGAAAATATAATCTGTTTTCTTTGCTCCATAAGACGCACAGACTTTCCACCCCCCCTGTTTTGTGGGGGGAAAGTGCGTCTTATGGTGCGAAAAATACGGTACATTAAGTTTAAAATATTTTAAACCTGTAAGCTAAAAACCAGAATTCCTGAGGTAACTTGCTGCTTAAAGGCTTGTCTGAAGAGAAAGGTTTTTGCCTGATAACAGAAGGAGGAGAGGTTATTTAACATGTAGGTGTTAAATAATATGGGGAATAAGACGCAAAACACAACATAAACCAAGCCTCCTGAAGGATGTCACAGACCAACGGCCAGGTCATTGAACAGGATTTCTCCAACACCACCTTCTGAGTTTGGTCATACAGGAAGGATGAGAACCACTGTAAAACAGTACCTCCAAGACCCATCCCAGAAGGATACCATGGTGGATGATATCGGAAGCCTCTGAAAGGAAACTCTCCTCCTGTCTAGTTCCTGGTCCAGGTCATCCACCAAGGTGACCAAAGCCATCCCTGTTCCATAACCAAGCCTGAAGCCAGACTAAAATGGATCTACATCATCCACTTCATCCAGGTGCCTCTGGAGCTGACATGCCCCCAACACAATCCAAGATCTTGCCCAAAAACAGAATATTGGAGACTGGCTGATAACAATCTAACATCATCCCTCAAGGAGGGATTTTTTAATCAAGTTCTTACTACTGCCTCCCTAAGACATTCTGTTACCTTGCCTTGTTGCAAGGAGGCAGTCACCATTCCTCTAACACATTCTGCCACCATCTTATCTAGTACAGTCCTCCTCTGGCTGCTTTTATAAGCCAGGAAGAGCAAGGGTGCAACACACACATGGTGGCTTTCACCTCTCCAAAGATCCTGTCCACATCATCAGGTGGCACCAGCAAAAACATGTCCACTATAAGGGGACAAGCAGGGTCCAAAGTTACATCAACAGGACTTGCATCAACAACAGCATCTGAATAAGAGAGAGTCTAAGAGACTTTCTTTGCCAAGAATTGTGCAAAATCTTCACTGCAGGTCAGCGGTCAATGTTCTTCTCTTGTGGCCATTTATGCAACCGAAAGAGCTTCACTGGATGGCTTTGTGCAGATGCAATAGTGGCAGCTTTTTTGCTGAGACCATGGCCACAGAATAAGCTTTCCAATAGGCTCTACCCCTTGTTTGATCTATTATTCTCTGGGTTTTCCATCATCACTCTCTAGTCTCCATTCCACTTGTTTCATCATCACCTGCTCCTTCATAAATTGCCACAGAATAAGCTTTCCAATAGGCTCTAGCCCTTGTTTGATCAATTATTCTCTGGGTTTTCCATCATCAGTGCTCTAGTCTCCATCCCAATTGTTTCATCATCACCTGCTCCTTAGTAAACCAAGGAGCTAATTTGACTGCACTTTGTGGGAGGGGACACTTAGAACTGATTGTGTCAGTAGTCCTGGCCGCATTCCAGAGATCCATCAAGGCCCCAGCAGGATTGCCTGCCAAGACAGCTGGAAACTCTCCAAGAGCCACCAGGAAACCATTTGGATCCATCAGTCTCCTAGGGTGGAACAATTTAATTGGCTCCCCACCCCTGCAGAGGCTTGGAGTTGCAATCAACCTATATCTTACCAGATAGTGATCTGATCATGGCAATAAAACTACTGAGAGTTCTTCCACACCCAGATTCTCACCATCTTATCTTGCACAAAAAATCAGGTCAAGAGTGTGCTCTGCAACATGAGTGGGGCCAGATATTGGGAGAGCCCAATGGTTGACACAAGGTTCTGAGCTGCTCCTGATAAACTGATCTTCATTTGAAGTCCCCCAGCACAACAAACTGAGGCAACTGCAACACACACCCCAGACCAGATCAGTCAGCTCATTCAAGGAGGCGGCTGTGCAGTGGGCTAGAGGGTACACCAGCAGAATCCCTGTTTTGTCCCAGGCATCCACTCTCATGAATATACACTCAAACCCAGCAGTCTATGGGACAGGGCACCTGGTAAGGGTGAATGAATCTCTGTAGACTGTTTGTTTGTTTGCTTATTTATGTATTTATTTATTATTTGAATTTATATCCCACACCATCTGGCAACCAGGTCACTCTGGACAGCTAATAACAATATAAGGAGAAAAAAATCTTAAAAACATGATAAAAATAAGTTAATACATAGCAAACCAGAAATTGAAACAGAAGGCAGTAAGGTGGTGGAAAGGGTGATGGTTGTTGCTTAGTCATTTAGTTGTGTCCGACTCTTTGTGACCCCATGGGCCAGAGCACGACAGGCCCTCCTGTCTTCCACTGCCTCCCGGAGTTTGATCAAATTCATGTTGGTCGCTTCGATGACACTGTCCAGCTATCTCATCCTCTGCCTTCACACTTTCCCAAGATCAGGGTCTTTTCCAGGGAGTCTTCTCTTCTCACGAGATGGCCAAAGTATTGAGCCTCAGCTTCAGGATCTGTCCTTCCAGTGAACACTCAGGGCTGATTTCCTTTAGAGTGGATAGGTTTGTTCTCCTTGCAGTCCAGGCTACTCTCAAGAGCCTCCTCCAGCACCACAGTTCCAAAGCATCAATTCTTCGGCGGTCCCCTGCTTCATCCAACCAGGTCAGGATGTTCATGCAGGATGTTAGCTGTAGTACCTTTTACTGACCTGGTATTTAGTGACAATTCAGGGCTATCCAGACTGTCTGAGTTGGGAGATAATGGAGAGGGGGGCATCCAGAACTCTATTTTCTGCCCTCCTCCCAAGAAGTTTTTTATGTCTCCCAACTCTGTATCTCCGAATCTCATGTTCAACAAGTAGGCCTGTTAAACTGCCTGAATCAGAGCCAGATTAGATATGGCATGATCATTAGGAAGCCTATGAAGAGACAGGCGAAAATGAAACAGAAATGAAGGAATTAGGAAAGATAATCAAGTGTAAGGATGTGTCAGTGAAGACCAAGATCAAGATCATCGACATTCTTGTATCCTTGATGTATGGGTGCAAAAGCTGGACAGTTAAGAAAGCTGATGGGGGGGATAGTTTTGATTAAAACAGAGGTCTCCAAACTTTTGACTGAGGGCCATACCAGATATTTTCATACTTTTTGAGGGCCAAAGGAACAGGAATGTGAGCATGAGCATGAATGTGCAGCGCAAGAGAGGGAGCTTGCTCACCTGCACCCCCCACTTCCCGCCTGCCCAGATTCTTCCCCACATGGACACACACATGCCCACCCATCTGGATACCCACCCACCCACATGCATGCCCGCATACCCCTGCCTGCCCCCCACCCACATGGACACCTGCCCCCCCACATGCCCATGGGCTGAAGGGAACGGGCAGGTTAAAATGGTAGGGTAAATTGGATGTGGCCTGTGGCCCGTAGTTTGGAGGCCCCTGGTTTAAAATATGGTGCTGGAGGAAAGATTTGCAGGGCTGGATTAAGATCTTTAAAGGCCCTAAACACTGAAAAGATCATGGTGCCCCCTACAAATATAACACAAGGCAGGTCCCACGGCTGGAAAAAAAACCCCATATAATGCACACATTATATGCATGAAAATACAGTCATTTAATTGTATAGCATGTGGCAAAAAAGTTATATGTACAAATTACTGGCTTTTCTTGTGCTTTCATGCTTTGATTAGTATAGACAGTTTTTGTCAGAATCTGTAAACTGAAAAGATCAAATAAAAAAAACCTTTGGGGGCATTTTTAACAATGGTTGTTACTTCTTTAGCAGAGGTCATATAGTGCAGAGGTCATAGGTCTAAAAGACCAGAAGTTCTTTTTATCCTTATTCCCACCCAACCTCTCAAAAGTGGCTGCCCAGAAGCCACTGGTAATGGTGCGGCTAAAAAATATTGTAAATAAAATAAATAAATAAATAAAATGCAAATGTGATTTAAAAAGCAAACAAACCACCAAGCGATAATGATGGTGATTGATCATTTGACACAAAACATGAGTTTTCTTGCTAGATGAATCTTTATACTTTTAAGTTTTTATTGGTTCATACTTGATTGCTTTAGAGAGCTGAAGGATTTGGATGGATGGATATGGTTTGTTAGGGAGAATGCACCATTTGCTCCACGGTCCATGGAAAATCCAGCACTGAAAAAAATATCTGTGGTGCCCTTTCCCCCTTGTTAATGCTCTAAGCAAGTGCCTATTTTGCTTAATGGTTAATCCAGGGCTGTTGACAGCACATAGCACAACAAATATCTAAACATAGCCTCTGAAAAATAATCATTAAAAAGGCAGACTTATTTGGTGCTCTTGCCCCATTCTGAATGAGAAGATGCACATCCATGACTGTCTTTGCTTTAAAATAAAAGCAAAGCAACGGAGGGACATCATGTCCCATCCATGACTGTCTTTGCTTTAAAATAAAAGCAAAAAACCCTAGCAATGGAGGGACATCATATTGATGGAATTCCCCTATCTTATTGAGTCAGGGCAGAAAATGTTGCAGAGTATTGAACTTCTAATAAGATTCCTTTTAATACACAGTAGAAGTACAAAGACCCACAGAGCAGAAGAGCTACAGGTTCCCAGAATCCAGCCCTTTGACTGTCTTTGCTTTAAAATAAAAGCAAAAAACCCTAGCAATGGAGGGACATCATATTGATGGAATTCCCCTATCTTATTGAGTCAGGGCAGAAAATGTTGCAGAGTATTGAACTTCTAATAAGATTCCTTTTAATACACAGTAGAAGTACAAAGACCCACAGAGCAGAAGAGCTACAGGTTCCCAGAATCCAGCCCTTTCTCGTTAATTGACATTTAAGGTCTCAAAGGATCAGAATCAGAGGCTGAAAGGAACTGTTGAGTACAGTTGGAGAGATAGACAATCACCTTGATCCAGAAAAATCCCTCCTGGTCACACAAACCACAGACAGCACGTGTGCTTTCAAATAAAATTCCAGTGCAAACAGTATTGTAGATAGACCATGATCGCAAAATGAAAATCATAAAGTCCCAGTTCTCTTTGTCACAATGGGAACCTCTCTTTAGACAATCACCTTGGCCCAGAAAAATCCCCCCGGTCACACAAACCACAGACAGCATGTGTGCTTTCAAATAAAACTCCTGTGCAAACAGAATTGTAGATAGACCATGATCACAAAATTAGAATCCTAAAGTCTCATTTCTCTTTGTCACAATGGGAACCTCTTTCAACTCCCAGAGTAGACAAATGCACTTGCTACACTTCATGATTGGTTTTCAGGACTTGAGGATGGGGTTCCTTTGACAATCTAGAACATCTGTTTCTGCTCTGAATGTGCTAGTAGACTGGAAACCTGCCAGCCATTTAAAATGGGGATAATAAATAGTATTGCAGCTTTTTCCTGATCAGTTCTGTTATTTTAGAACCAGTTCAGGAGAAAAGCATGCCTTACGCATCAATACCCCTTTCTTTTTCACAGATGCCCAAATATGTTCTGCTCACAGATCATCACTTACACATCCCAGTCTACAAGGAAAGGTGAAAGTAGAAGTGAAGATTTAGAATTAAATCTCACCATTTAATAGTGTCTTGGTCCCCTAGGAGTGCTTTAACCTCTTCCCTGCACTTCTGTTGATGCTCAGGATTTTGGGCCATGCAGTAGAAGAGCCAACAGATTGCACTAGTTAGGGTTTCAGGGCCTGCAGCCATGAAAGTATCAATCTCTGCACGTACATCCTCATGAGGCAACGGTTGTCCCTTTTCATCCTAGCAGTGTAAGAAAGCTGTCAGTTTTATGGTTTACAGAAAAGCAAAAAATGTTAACAAACAGCCAGATAGAACTACAGAGAGAGGCACATTGGAAAACACGAGAACAGGAGAACTGAGTCATCACCCCTACAGATGCACTCACTGTGTCTGGGGACGAATGCTCACCCTCTCTCCTCACTTTTGTCTGTTCTACATGTGGAAAGCAATGAGCCTCCAGCAGAAATACTCCTGCTTGTACACAGACTCCACAAACAGGAAAGAACTTTAAAAAACTGGAGTTACTTCTTGTATATAAAACCTACATAAAAGCAGAAACATTTCTGCTGTGGGCATATCAATGTACACAAGTAGAAGGTGATGATGGAGAAGGGAGGGGCTGGGTACTTCCACTGAGACATCCTGACTATCTGTGGAGGTGACAATAGAAGTCTTGCAGGATTATTAAGAAAAATAATGTAAAATATCCCTCCAGGCTGTATCTTCCTTAGACTTCTCTCTGACTTCTGTTCTCCTATTTGTCCCCACTTACATTGCTTTGCTATTTTCCTTGCATGTGGTCAAGGAAATATTCAGTTAGACATAGCATACTATTAGAAACTGATGCACCAAAATCTTTAACAACTCTTTAACAGCACCCAATATCTCTACACCAAACAGCATTTGCCTTTTTTGTGGCTGAAAAGAAAAGGAAATTGCTATTTTATTAAGTACTGCATTAAGTACTAGAACTACTAGTTCCCCTCTATTTGGCACTGGTTTGATTTCATCTAGAGTACTGTGTCCAGTTCTGGACACTCCACTTTAAGGAGGATGCCAACAAACTGGAACAAGTTCAGAAGAGGACAGCAAGGATGATCGGGGACTGGAAATCAAGCCATATAAGAAAATACTGAAAGAAATGGGGATGTCTAGCCTTGAGAAAAGAGGACTAAGGGGAGAAATGATAACATTTTTTCAAATACTTGAACAATAATTATACAATAATCATACATATTCTCAGTTATCCCAGAGTGCAGAACATATAGTGATGGGGCTCAAATTACAGGAGGTCAGATTTGGGCTGAATATCAGGAAAAAACTCTTAATTGTTGGAGCAGTGTGACAATGGAGACACTTACCTCAAGAGGTGATGACCACTCCAATGCCAGAGGTATTCAAAAGAAAATGAGACAACCATCTGTCAGATCTGCTTTGATTTGTATTCCTCTACTAAACAGGGGGTTGGACTTGATGGCCTTATAGGTCCCTTCCAACCCAATTATTCTATGATTCTATGGTTCTACATATACCATAAATTCCATCAGAAACAAGTCTACTATCCCTTTCAAATGCTCACAACACTGACCTTTCCCAAAAGAAGAATATCTAGAATATCCAGGTGCTTCTTCTTTTGGACTCCTTCATTGTTATCCTTCAGTGACTTCTGTCGCTCTCTTATTACTCTATCTGGATTGGAGATGGGGAAAAAGGAGTGAAGACTATAAAATACATCTTCTTTGCTATGAATGAATACAGTGTAATTTCCTAACAGAACTTATATGTTCAATTAATTTAACAAATGAAGAGAATGCAACAGGTACTTTCATTTCAAATACACTGATGGATCTGTCACAATCCTGCTAGATACTGATATAGAACAGTAAGAACAGTAATACAGGACAGAAGAACCATTGACAGCTAGTTTGCAGCCCAGTTAGTTATCTTCCTATCTAGAAAGGGCAAAAAAAGTTTTTAGTATTGGAGGTTTACTTATTCTGTCAAGGATAGATACCTTGTCTGTATCAGAATAGTTAAAAATTATGGGAGGGGTGCAGAAAATTGCCCTAAAATTGCTCTAAAGTATTTTTAAACTTGCAGCCTGAAAAAATTGTTTACTAGAAGTGATAGTAATGTGGCACCAGAAAAATCAGCAATAGACTTCACATTTTGAGCCCCTTTGAGTCCGAGTGCCCAAACTGTAACACAGAATCAACTTATTTATTTCAAAGTGCCAACACTGCAATTAAAACCCGAATACTGAGGTTTTAGTTTAGAAAAAAACAACTACTCCTGCACTGCAAGGGTTAAATGCTTGTTGTTGTTGTTGTTTTCTTTTCTTTTCTTATGGGCGGTATTAACAAAGAAATACTTACCAGTCCTTCAATCCCCCATTGGGCTAGACTGTTAATGGTCTCCATCACACTCCCCTGCTGGACCACTGCACCAGCAGAGGGGAGTGCCGAAATCCAGGATCAGAAAATGGGGAAGTATTTCCCGGTGGTGACTTATGGCTCATGTGCCCGCAGAGAGGGCTGTATGTGCCAGCTGTGGCACGCGTGCCATAGGTTCGCCATCACTGAATAGAGTATAATATGGCTAGGTTGGCTGAGAATATTTTGTATTAATTTTGTGTGTTAAAAACATGCTTAGAGGCTCAATAATGTTTTCATTTTATATTTTCTCATTTCAAGAACTTTTATATTTCTTCATTTCTTTTGCAACAAACTTACTGCTTTTAAAGCATATGTCTTTGCTTTTCAAAGAAGTGTTAGATACATTATCTGCCTTTATAGACTACAAGCTCCTATACTTTTAAGAATATTTTTAAAAGATTGTTTTGGTATTTATTATATTCTTGATCCAGTATTTTCTAACTAAAGTATTTGACTAAAGTTTCAGTTCGATTTTCATGTTTTAAGTTTTGTGCTTACAGTTTTACGTAACTGTGAGACTTTCAGATGTAAAGATTTGCGCTTTCAGTTTTTCTTACAACTGCAAAATGTTTGGATGTTACGACAGCTCTGAAATAATACTTTGTTCCGGAACCTAGAAACTATGTAGAAATAAAGCACTGTAGAAATTTAACAAGCTGGAATAGCCTGGAGTAATTGCAACAGAGAAAAGACTTATAATTAGATGCTCACTGATAATCAGTTGTTTATCACATATGCTGAATCACACTTGTGCTAGAAGCCAAGAAACTGCATTTTTGTCTTGTCAAGGATGCAGTGTTTTATATCTGTCATCAGTGCAATCAGGATATTTGTTTTGAAGCGCATTATAATTGGGCAGTTGATAAGCATCTGAATGAACTATTATAATAACTTTTCCTTTGTAATGTATATTGTAAAGGCCTTGGATAGGAAACAAAATTGTTGCTGTTGACTTAAGTATTTCCCTAAGCTTAAATTCAATTTTCGTATATTTGTAAATTATGTACCTACAGTTTTATGCAACCGTACGACTTTGGGATTTAAAAATTTGTGCCTACAGTTTTTTCTGACATCTATGAAATATTTGGATGTTATGACAACTCTGAAGTAATTTTATCTTATGGAACCTAGAAATTATGTGGATAGAAAGGCTTGCAAAAATGTAATGAGCTGGAATGCCCTGGAATTATTGCAAGAGAGAAAAGCTGCATAATTAGATACATGAATTTTGAAATCCATGTCAATGATTGCCTGCTTTCATTCTAGGTTAATTGTCAGTTGTGACAAACACAGGCTTCTGATCTTTACCTAGGAGGTCTATGAATCTTTGTAGGACTCCCGGGGAAGTCAAGCATCTCTCAAGGATCTGACAATTCACTCTCCTTTTTCCAGGGAGAAAAAGAAACATCCCACAATGGGAACCCCCATTTTGGCATGAAAGGGGTTTCTTTTCCCTTTCTTGGATGAAGAGACAGGCGGTGATGGGCTTGCCATTGAGTAAACCAGCCTGTCCATTTCCTCTTGAAGTGGGTACTAAGGGAGAGACCTCCAAAGGGAGTGACTATGAAGGCTGCGAAGGGTTTTCACTACATTTCTCATTGCCATTCAAGGCAACCTGTTGAGGAAACGCTAATCCTCACAAAGGAGTTCTTTGCTTCCTCCCTTTGAGGTCAGGTGTCCACATTTTTGTGAACAAAACGTTCCTGCACAGGATTGATGCTGCGATTGAACCACAGTTGAGATTTGTTATTAATTACTTACAGTACTGTATTTGCATTTTTACCCAGTCTTTTCACTAAAAATCTTTCCAAACATCTTAAAAGAATAAGCACTATTTTTTTTAAAAAAATTGTGTCTCCCTTTTTAACTTCCAAATTTTTGCTCATCTGAGGGCTTTCTCCCTCTCCCTTTGTGAAGCTAAGCGTTCATGCACAGCAGTCACAGGACTGATTGAAGAAAAAGATACAAAAAAGCAACCAAGTTCATCAACTTTTAAAAGTCCATACATCAACTGTAGTTTAGGGCAACTTTAGAATTTTATCAAAAATAATTCTTATTCAGAAAAAAAAACATAAAAAAATAAGAACGATTAAGAAAATCTGTCTCCTAAAGACAAAATGTTTTATGTTTCTTGTTCTTACATACAAAGACAAGCTTATTTGAGATTTACGTCCCTGGGAGTGACTAAGAGACTTCATAACCATATTCACATGTCTGCAGGAATGAGCTATTCATGTTTTTAGACTCCATTTCTGGGAATTCCAGCCCACAAGTCATATCTATGGTCACTAACAGACACCTACATTTGCCTACCTAGACCAGCATTTACCATGGAGGCTGCACAGCTGTCTCAAGTTGTGCTTCCTGTTGGCAACGTACAAACAAGGAAGCTGCCACTGTGCTTCTTGGGCTTTGCAGTTCTTCAGGAGGCACCTTCCATAAAACCTAAAGAGCAGCAAGACTACGATTTCCAGAAAGCACCATGGCAGCTTCCTTTTTTGTACAGCAGCAACAAGAAGCAAGGTCCAGGACCACCATGCAGCCTCCAAGGTAGGTCCTGGTCAACAAGTGACATGTAGGTGTGAATCCGCGGGCTTGAACACCCAAGACTCTGGAGAATTTGTGGAGAATTCTAAGAGCTGAACATGAATGACATATCCCTAAGGGTCTGCTTACATACCAATGAACTGATTCCTCTATATCATTCTAACCACACCTAACATCTGATTAGGAGACTCTTCTCCGTGACTGTAGGTAGGTTGATGTCAGGTTTTTTAGAAATCATGACAAGGTGTTCTATATATTTGAACTCCAGCTGTGAGAACCCTCCTTCTTAGGACATTTCTTTAGGTCCCCTCCTTTTTTAGCTTGTAAAATTCTGTTTGATTTGTTGTTTTTTTAACTTAAGCTTTGCATTTTAAATTGATCAATATTTTAATTGTCATATAATTTCTGTTTTTTTGGGTTTTTGCATGTTTTAACTGCTTGTTGGCTCAGAATGGTCTATTGTTTCCCTAAGTGCTACTTTTATACATAGAAAAACAGATTATGAATTCATTTAATAAATAAATACAAAGGCTCAGAACCACCACCTGCCAGAAAAGGGAAAGGGAACAGTGAATGTCACAAGTTGAAGCTCATAATTCTTAGTCAGTCTATCTATATAACTCCTCCAGAAAGGATTGGAAGGGCATGCAGACAATGTGATTCCTTCCTATTTTGGGAGGAGGAGGAGGAGAGGTTTTCTGAAGGATCCATTCCTTCCTATTTTGGGAGGAGGAGGAGAGGTTTTCTGAAGGATTCTGTCTTCCTGATGGGGAGAGAATGGAGAGCAGTGAGAATTTAAGCACCATTTCTTAGTAATGAATTTTACAGCAAAGCCTTTTCTGCAGCATATTCGCCTGACCACATGTTTTCTGGCGGAAACAATTGAGCAAGACAGGCCAAACCTCCCGTCACAGCAGCCAGCTATTCAGTAAGGCATAAAAGTGGGGAATAATCCAATGAATCTCACTACGAGTAGATGCAGGTACCCCATGCCCTATCATTGGCTTGTCAGAAGCTGTCATCCTACATACCAAACAAATAGGCTTGCACAAAAGCACAATGCAAATTATTGAACAGTTAGTAGACCAGTTCATACAAAGATATTGAGCTAGTAATATATCTGTGAAGATTCTCAGTCATCCAAGTGAGATTATTTGGAAGTTAACCATGACTCAACTTCCATATATTGAGCTAGTGTGAGAAGGCCAAAAGAACATACCTGTGTGGCAGTGAGCTACTTTACAGGCTTTGCGGAATCGACGCCCCGGAGAGGTAAACCAGTAAAGAAAATTGCTTCGGTAAAGAGGTGTCTTCATTCTCTGGTCAATCAGATTGCTGAGTTCAAGTGTAGCTTTAACATAGGGATTATCCCTTTGAGAAGAAAAGGACAAATAGTTAATTCTCAGGAAGATGAAATCTCATTTTTAAGTGTGTGCGTATGCATCATGGTATGTGAAATATTTTAAGGAATGATTTTATCATTGCTGCTTGGGTCCATGGGGTCACGAAAAGTCGGATATGACTTAATGACTAAACAACAACAAAATATTTCACATATATCTATAATTTGAAATTGTGCAATGCTCTGATACAAATAAATAAAGAAAAGAAAGGCTAGATTGGTGAACCAGGGATCAGGAGAACTGAGTTTGAATCTCCATCCAGGCATGGAAACTCACTCGAGGTGGTACAGGTAGAACCACTTCTTAAATATCTTATATGCCTTGAAAACCCTATTAGGGTCAATATAAATCAATAATGGCTTGATGGCATATAATAAGTCACAGAGAGTAGTTTTTGTTTGTTTCCTTTCCTGTCTTTCTGTTCTTTTTCTTATCCTGGATACAGAACATAATTTTTCTTTTGTTGTTTCTGAAATAGAAGTGGATTTGTTTACCCTACCTCACAAGTGGATGGGGTAGGGACACCCCAAACAGCCCTCGACAATTCCCTGTTTTGCTCCCATATGAGAAGGAAAATGGTTGCCTTCAGCTGCAAAACTAGGCATCTTGATAGACACTCTTTTAATGGCCACCAGTTGAAGCAGTAAGTATAAGGATAGTGTGCTGTGGTGATTACTGGCATTATGGATTTACACTGGTGTATTAGCAGCATTTCATTGGAAGTACACCACTAACAATGAAGGAGACATGTGGAATTATAGCACGGCAGGAGGGAAGTAAACCTTTGTTGGAATCCTATGCTTACAGTAAGTTTGATCCTGCTCCTGACATTCAGGAAGTGTTATACCTATCATATAGGTGCCATAAGTTAAAAATACTCCTGCTCCAGTGAGCTTTATAAGAGGATGAATACACACAAACAGGCAGAACGGACCACGGACGCCACCTGGGTGGCGGAATACACACAAATGCACAGACAGGCACACTTCACACTTAGAACTCCGAAGCACTATGACTCTAAAACACCAGGAAGCACGTCAAACTTAGCTCACGAGTCACAATAAGCAGTCACAAGGAAAGAGAAATACAAACAAAACAAAGGTTTGAATATACTGTGCTACTTCAATTTATCATTTTTTTTAAAAAAAGTTATCTCATTGGGATAGGACAGTAGTCTTTACTGACCCATCCAACTGGCAGTTGCTGTGGAAACTGAAGGTACATTTCATGTTGCTGTCAAAGGTCATCAGGGCAACGTCTTTATGTATCTCCACTGATCCTTCTGGATCTTCTGAGACGATTTTTTCCCATTTATCCTTTAATAACGTGAAGACAGAAATGTGAAACAGCAGTTTTTTTAAAGAGTGCTGCTGTGCATCTAAGGCATCATCCAGTTCTAATGTTCAGCTTTGACTAATCAGATCGTGTTTTCACAGAAATAAGTCCCAATGAGTTCAGTGGTGCTTAGTCTATAAGAGAACCACTGTGTATAGAAGTGGAGACCTCTGATTCGTTCTTGGTGGGTGGAAAGGAGCAGGCCAGAGGGATGACTGAGATTCTCCATCATTCCCTTTATTCTTCTCTGTGAATGTCTCCACTAGAATGTCCCTCAGAATGTCCTACCATTGATGTAGCTCACAGAAGACTCTAGCAGGACTCACTGTCAGAAGTAATTTGAGCTAAGAAACTAATTCTCGAAGCCCTTTCTCAGTCCAGAGATTTTCCAGTAGTTTGGAGATGATCCTACACGTTAATAATGTGGATCCATGAGGATCCATGCCTGGGACCCAGTTTTTGCTCTACTACAAAGTTTTGTGTCAAAGGACCCATGTTTTCACTACTGTGTGGGGGGCCAATATTTGGCAGTGGGTTTGGGACAGATCCCTTAGAAAAATCATGTGGATCAGTGTTTGCAAAGCTGTTTCTTTCCAGGAAGGAAACTCTGCTAGTTTGAAATAAATAAATAAATACAAATGGCAGCCAGTGGGTAGGAAAAGCTATTGCACTCTGGCTAATTAGTCACGCCTTCCCTCTTGTCAGCACTGGCTGCTGTTCCCTCGCTCCCAGTGTGAGGGTGGGCAGGCACAAGAGAAAGCTCTATTTGCAACTATTTTAAAAGCTGATGTAGCCCCCTCTACCAATATACAAAACAACTTAAAAACCAACCTAAAGTTTTTCCAAGAGAATGCAAACACCAACCATGTGACTACCATGTGACTTTAACCCAATTTCAAAAACCCTAATCCAGCTACAGATTCATTTTCATAGTGTAACCATTCTCTAAGGGCTCCTCCTCATGAAGTATTTGTTCTTGTAAAAATACCAGCTTCTGCATTGATGTTACCAGCATTTTTCCAGCGATCCTTATAAGATTTCTTTGTTCTCATTTAGTCCAGTGCTTTGCTTTGCTCATTCTTGTTCTTTATTTTTTTTCTTTTCTTTTTGCTATTTTAGTCCCTTCTGAAAGCATGGTTTATTTTTAGCATTACTTTGTACCAGGGACAGAATTTAGCTCTATGACATTTCTCCTTCGAAGTTGATGTCCATGATGAGATACTGCTGGTAACAAGTTTTCAATTACCACTCAGTGTAAAAACAAACAAATAAAAAACAAAGCTCTAGCCACAGAGGTGGATTGAAAAACAAAACAACAACAACAACAAAAACATAGCTCCAGCCACAGAGGTGGATTTGTTATACATTTCTTCAGGATTTGTTAAAGGTTTCAGAAAGGTAAGGAGCTTCTTAAAGAGAAAAATAAAAATGGATTTTATACATAAATCTGGATGGAATAGCAGTAAGTTTCATATTCCATGAACATTAAGCAACACAAGTAGGGGTGGAAAAAATGGTCTGTCTATGGCATAATGGCAACTTTGGGGGTGGCAGGGCTCATCATGGCAATCTCCACAGCCACTCCCTGCAAAGAAGAGTCAAAAAATGGGGCCAGCGGGATCCATATTATTAAATGAGGATCCAGTCTTTTGTACAGTTACAGAGCTCTTCACTGTCCATTCAAGACCAAAGCACCCTCAAATATTTTGCGTTACAATAGGGATACTTGCAACAACTGCATACCATTCCTGGAAAAATCCATTTCTCTCCCAGCTTCTGTGAGGATCGCAGCTAAGCTCAGAGGGAATGGAGTGGGTGGCATCACATTTCCTGCTGCTCAAAGGTCCTGGGTCTTTGACCCAACAAACTCTGACTCCACTACAGCAGTGGCCTGGAAGAACCTAACACACGCAATAAAAATGTGGCACTCTCCTCAGTGAAGTCCAAGAATACCAGAAGTGACATTTCCTACCAGCATTACTTTAACTGATTCAGCCATTAGAGTTGCATAAGGCTTCAGAACATCATAATGGAACCCTGGGGTGAGGAGCTTCCGGTGATGTTGCCACTTTGGCCCATCCAGTATTACTAAACCTTTTCCTATGAATAGAGAGAAATGGGAAACACAAGCTGTGAGAAGCAATGGAATCTTACATGGTCAAAAGCATTCTGAACTTTGAAGTATCTTTTCAGATTCACTGAGTAAATATGTGTACATGTGATCATTAGTTTTATATTTTTGTTTGTGTGTGTGTGTGTCTCTGTGTGTGTGTGTGTACTGTAGGCAACCTTCAGTCTCAAGAGACTACGGTGTGGACTATAGCTCCTTGAATCCTCCAAGAATTCTCCAGGAAGAATTCTGAGAGTTTTACCCCAGAAAATAAACACCTACATTTAGCTCACTTGGACCAGGATCTACCTCAGAGGCTTCATAGCCTTCTCAAGTCTTTGTTTCCTGTTGCTAATGTTTTTAAAAAAGGAAGTTACTGCGGTGTAATGATCTTTTGTTGTTTTTTTTTAAAAAAGAAAGCTACTGTGATGCTAAACAATAATGCCAGGAAAAACTGAAGGCAGCAGGAAAAGAGGAAGACCAAATATGAGATGGATTGACTCCATAAAGGAAGCCATGGCCTTAATTTGCAAGAGCTGAGCAGGACCGTTGAGGACAAGGCATTCTGGAGGTCTTTCATTTATAGGGTTACCGTAAGTTGGAGGTGACTTGAAGGCACATAATAACAGTGTTTATTAGGTGTATAAATTATAGTTGCCTTCTTAAATTAATATGTATCCCACTCTGCCTCACAAAGAAACTGGGACAGGTAATAAAATACAGCATATTTCATAAATTTTCATCAGATGATAAATAAAATCACAGCAAAAATTAAGACAAAAAAAAAATCACATTAAATTCAGAATTACCTTTGGGACTGCAAGTATACATTTGAGACTACAGACCTTAGTTTAAAAAAGGAATGAAAAATACATACCAGTCAATGGAATGAAGAAGCTATACATTAGGGGATGTTTAGGATCTGTGTAGAAGAAAAGAATGAATAGAAATTGTTGCAGGGTAGGAAGATGCAACATTCATAAAAAGACAACCTTAGATTTCTTTTGAAGTTACTAAACACCATTTGAATTTACTTTCAATTGAAGATCATGCAAGAGGAAGGTGCATGGTACAATTTAAGCAAGTAATCCTTAACATGTAATTGTTTCCTATATAAGTAATACTCCCAGATGAAAACATAATACTCTGAGACTAATTTTGGGTTGTTTCCTCTTATACACATGCCCTATTCCCTACGTCTGATGGGTACGAAACCCACTGGAGTAAACCACTGACCAGATATCTTTTTAAGCTGATTGCTCCATATTTGCATTGTAGCAGCCCCAAAACAGTTTAATGCAGAGAGATTGGGTTTTATTGTTGTTGTTCTTTTTAATTGTTTTGTTTCATTTCTTGGTGCCATTAGAAATATTCTCCTGGTTCATGGTAGTGCTAGTGTGGAGATCAAACTATTTTAGATTTTAGAGTTGCCATTTGGAGCATTCATCATATAAGGAGACCTCTTTTGATGTTCCCCAGTAACGAAGGGATCAGACGCTGGCCTGAAGATTTTTCTGTAGCAAGTGACTGGGTGTCTGGGCAAGCAGGTTAGTTAAGCTTGAAGACTGACAGAAAGTTGGTTTGGAGAGAGATCTGATCCTGTCACACTGCCAGTTAATTCATTGGGAATAATACAGAGTCTGGACCGCCTTTGTAATTATACTTATTGGAAACTGACTGTTTTTCAGATTTGAAGGAAATCATTCATTTTCTAGAACCCACAAGAAGGCCTATTCTCTGGCAGTGGTGGCAATGAAAAAGTCTTTCTTCTCTGACGCCATTGCATCTGCACAGTTGCCCAGTGATGCTCTTTTGAGTGTCCAAGGGCCTATTACATGCCAGCCCCCAGGAAGATAATGAAGACCACACTGTAGCTCGCTATAAAAAAAAATTGCTTGGCACTTTGCAGGTTAAGTCGCTCAGATCTTCTCTGACTTGGACACTGCAGTTAAAACAGGTCCTATGGAGGTCGCTATGCCCCCTGCTTGTCCTGGGTTAATGGACAAGTTTCAGGTTTTGCACCCTGATGATGTGGACAGGACCCTTGGAGAGGTGAAGGCGACCACGTGTTCACTGGACCTTTGGCCCTCCTGGCTTATAAAAGCTGCCAGAGAGGGACTGGCTGAGTGGGTCCAAGGGGTAGTGAATGCCTCCTGGGTAAGATCCTGGCATACTTAAAGGCAGCATCAGTAAGACCATTATTGAAAAAACCCTCCGTGGACCCCTCAATATTGGATAATTACCAGCCAGTCTCTAATATCCCATTTTTGGGCAAGGTGCTGGAGCAGGTTGTGGCTTCTCAGCTCAGGGGTTCCTGGGTGAAATGGATTATCTAGATCCATTTCTCTTTGGCTTTGGGCCTGTCTATGGGAATGAGACTGATTTGGTTGCTTTGGTGGATAACCTATGGTGGGAACTGAATAGTTGGTTCAGAACTGTTGGTTCTGCCGGACTCTCAGTGGTTTTTAATACCATAGATCAGTGGTGGTGAACATTTTTGGGCCCAAGTGCCCAAAATGAAAAACAAAACAAACCCAGTGGGCAGCAGGCCGCGGCAGGCACAGCAGCAGCAGCAGCAGAACCAGAAGTGGCAGTGACAGAACTGGAAGTTCTGGCAGAAAGTGGGAATCCCAGGCACAGAGGTGCCTCGAGATCCCACTCCGGATTTGCTGCCAGTGCCAGCTGCTCTGCACCCTGAAGTTTCGCTGTGCAGGGGGGGGGGAGAGTAGTGATCCGGCAACTTATGGCTCACATGTCCACAGAAAGGGCTCTGTGTGCCAGCTGTGGCATGCATGCCATAGCTTCGCCATCACTGCGATAGATCATGGCATCCTTCTGGGCTGTCTCTCTGGGATGGGACTGGGAGGCATTGTTTTATACTGGCTCTAGTCCTTTCTGGAGGGGAGAACTCAGAGGGTGGTGCTGGGGGACTCCTGTTTGACACACTGGCCTTTGGCCCGTGGTGTCCCTCAGGGTTCTCTTTTGTTGCCTGTGCTATTTAACATCTACATGAGACTGCTGGGAGAGATTGTCTGGTGTTTTGAAGTTTGGTGTCACACGTATGCAGATGACACCCAAACCTACCTCTCCTTTTCATCTAAATCCAAGGAAGCGGTTTTGGTTTCAGTAATGTACTGGACGGGGTTAATAAACTGAAACTTAATCCAGATACGTGCTGCTGGTCAGACGAAAGGCAGATCAAGGAACAGGGTTGTAGCCTGTGCTGAATGAGGTAACACTCCCTCTGAAAACACAAGATGCACAGCTTGGGGGTTATTCTGGATTAGCCTCTGAGCTTGGATGCCTAGGCTTCAATGGTGGCTCGGAGTTTGCACAGTTAAAATTAATATACCAGCTGCACCCATTTCTTGAGATGTCTGGCCTGGCCATGGGAATACATGCCCTAGTTGCATCTTGACTGGGTTACTGTAATGCACTGTACATGGAGCTGCCTTCGGAAAGAACACAGGAACTCCAGAGGGTCCAAAATGCCGCAGCCAGATTGTTGACTAGGATTTTATTTATTTATTTATTTAATTGGTTACAGGGAACATATAACCCCCTGTTATAGCACCTTCATTGGCTACCAGTGCATTTTTTTAGTATAAACTGTTTCTTGATTTTAACCTAAACAGCTTGGCACCAAGCTATCTAAAAAGACTGTTATCTTCCCCTATAAGCCTGCCTGGACATTATCAAGGGAAACCTTTCTTTCGGCCCCAGCACTCTCACAGGTGCACTTGGTGCAGATATGGCCGCCCAGAGTGGTCAATTGATCAGATGGGCGGGAGATAAATAAATAAATGACTAAATGACTAAATGACTAAATAAATAAATAAATAAATAAATAAACACATAAATAAACACATAAATAAACACATAAATAAACACATAAATAAACACATAAATAAACACATAAATAAACACATAAATAAACACATAAATAAACACATAAATAAACACATAAATAAACACATAAACAAACAAACAAACAAACAAACAAATAAATAAATAAATAAAGAGCCTTCTCTTGCTGCTCCTGGACTCTGGAACTCCCTCCCACAGGAGGCCAGGCATGCCCCATCTTTGCTGCCCTTCTGCAAACAGGCAAAAGACCTGTTTCTTCAGGCAGTATTTCCCTTAGTGACTGGCTCTCTGAGAGGGATTTTTTAAAAATGTTGTACTCCGTTGCTTTAAAATGTGTTTCAGCATTGATTATATTTACTACTTTTAATATTCTTATTTAATCCCTTTTGAATATTTCTATGCTTTCTGTTTTTAGCTTTTAAATATTGTCTTTTTAAGGATGCCTTGAAGAAAGGAGGGGTAAAATATTTTAAATACTGTAAATATGGCCACCACAAAGAGAGATTCTTTCCTGGGATCACTCAAACGTAGGAAGCAAAATGCTTACCGCCTCTGCTGAAGACTGCTCTGGCATAATCAGGGTGGTTGATGATCAAGATACTTGAAAACTTTCCAAACCACAAAGGAAAACATCTTGGAAATGTTTCAGTCCATTTTGTCATGCTTTGCAGTTCATCTCCATTTTTCAACTGCATTGTGAGTTTGGAGAACAATATAGTCACAACTCTGTGTTTAAAACATCATGCGCTAAGACAACTACTTTTCTGTAGTATGGGCTTGGATGTTTCGATTGAAAGTACAATAAATAGGGGAAGATTTGTTGATTTCTTCAAGCTTTCTGAAAGATTTCTTAATTCTGTTTCTTAAAGATCTGCTGATTTTTTTAAAAAACAGAAAAGTGGGGAAATGTGGACAGAAATCCTGGTAGCATCTGCCTTTAGCTGACACCAGCTAACACAATGGGTGGCTGGATAGCTCAGTGATTTAGGTTTCAGTCTGCAGAGCTGGAAGCTGGGAGCTGAAATCCCCACTGTGCATCTCAGAAGAACCAGCCTATGTGTTTTTGGGCAAGGGATGGTAAACTACTTCTGAGTACTCTCTACCTAGAAATCCCTTGAAAAGGTCACCATAAGTGAGAATTCACCTGACAGCACATGATTATTACTCACTATCACAAAGCATGGGCCTTCTGGATGAGCTCATACACAAAGAAGATACTCTACATGAAACAGAAAATAGAAAATGAAACATCCTTGACCACCTTCCAATGTTATGGGAAGCTAAAAAAAAATGTAAACTCAAAAGCATGCCAAGAATTGTCCTTCTCAAGTAGGAATGAATCCTGTTACTCAACACTTAGAGAGGAGTACCTAGCCATGTCCCCTTTGCCATTGCTTTCTTTATGCCATAATGGAGGAACCTGAAGGTGAGAATGTCCTCCTTGCCTATAAGCTCTACAGATGCTTGCTTGTACGTAGGGCTACAGGTACGCAGGAACATCCCTTCAGATTCCTCTGTCATTGTGCCCAGGAAGCAGTGCCAGTACAGTAGTGGAAAGGACTAGGCACTCCTCTCTTACTGTGAGGAGGAAGCTGGATTTATTAAGGTCTGAATAGGTCTAGTCGGGCAATACAATGGTGGGGAAAGAAATAAAATTGATGGTAAATTGACAGACCAATTACAGGGACAGTACTTGCCTTATCTTTTTCTTGGACATGAACACCGTAGTTTTTGGGGAGTGAGCTTACTTCTCCCATCACCACCAGCACTACACCCCAGAATTCAACTAGGTAGAAATCATCATGGAAGAAGCAAAATGGTGACCCTACTGCCAATTGTTTCCTTTTGCAGTGACAATGCAAAACTTGAGGGAAAAGAAAGTTACAGAACCATGCCTCTAGTTGGGTTGCAACTCTCAGAAACAGAGAATTTCTCATTTTCCCTGATAAATCCAGTGAAATTTCCCTCCTGATTTCTTTGCCCTCTAATGGATGTGGAATTTTCAAAAGGCTGTTTACGCACAGCTATATCCCCACCTGTGAGCTACAGAACGACATTCCTGATGGACTGTAATTTGTCCTTGTATTGAATATTAGTGTGGAGGGCTTCCATCTTCATACAACCCAGACCTTAGCTGTAATTGAATCTGCTCAGATTCACAGGAGAGAGATTCCAAACTTCTAGATCTACAAAAAGCATTTCTCAGACTACAATGCCCACCCAGGATGGTTAAAGGACAGATTAACAGGGGGAGACTGATAACCAAAAACTTCCTAATGGAAGACAGATCTAGAAGAGGAAATGACAGAGCATCATTAGTTGTCATATTCAGCTCACAGCTGAAAGCACTCACGTGCAGCATCTATGTTCTACAACCAATTTGACACTTTAATAAATGCTTTCTATGAATCCCCAGTGTAGCGCTCCCCTGATGTTACCCATAGGGGTGAACTGGAGAGGAGACTGGGGCCCTGCTGGCTCAGGAAGGGGGGAAGGCAAAACCCGCCATTCTGCACCTCAGCCAGGAGGTGTTCCCTGAGAACAATAGAATTCTGTTACAGAGAAGGAGACCTAGCAGGATGGTAGGCCATCCTAGCAGTGCAATATTATTAATTAGAAAGGCCTTTCATACTGGTCACTTATCATGCTCCATTACAGTGTCAAAAGAAAGATACTAATTAGAGATGGGCACAAATGAAAAACTGACCAGGAAGTTCATCAAAATCACTGATTCAAGTGTATTCTGAAACAGAGAACCAGAACTTTCCAGAACCAGCAAACTTTTTCATGATTTAATGAACACCCTGGTTCATTTTATCCCCCTCAGCCTATTACCCCTCCCTTCCCACTGCCCCTGTTGCCTCCCTACCTTGCCCTGCCACTACCACTGCTAGGGAGAGATGTGCAGAGGCCCCATGGCTGGCTGACAAGCCAGATGCCTTTAAAATAATAATCCAATTTTTCTTTATTTAATTTGGAGGGGAGCAGCTGGCCGGCTCCCAGCTGTCTGTCTGTGCATAGGTGTCTGTCTCTCAGCTGAGAGACGGGCTGTACGAACAGGCAGGCAGCCTGAAGGAGCTGGCCGCCTCTGAAGCTACAGTGGAGGTTGGCCTTGGAGGAGGAAGAGGTAGAGGTAGAGGTAGAGGCAGGAGAAGGTAGGGAAGCAATAAGGGCAGTGGGAGGCATGCATGGGGGCAGGCTGTGGGGGTGGGGAGGCAGCTGGACTTTAAAAAAAAAAAGAAGACAGTTACCAGGCTGTCTAAAAACATATTCCCAAGTGAACTGACAAAGCAATTTGTGGTTCTTTTGGGAAAAATTTGTAAATTTATAATTTGTAGTTCTTGGCGTTTCACGAACCACAGCCCATCTCTAATACTAATCACAATGCTTGTCATTACAGCAATGTTCTTTCCATTTTAAATTCAGGCATGAGAAACAAAATGTTAGTATTCATAATTTTTCTTGACAGGGACCCTGGGCTGCTGAGGATGTGTCCTTTGTGATCCCCAACCTTTTGGATGAGGTTTACCCTGCACTCCCTTCTGACTATAATGCCCTATGCTTGAAGTTATTTAGCAAGCAAGGAATCAAAAAGCATACGATCATAAAATCACCCATACAAATTGTTCCACCCTTTCTGTATAGCTCCTGAACAGGTTGAAACACACAGTTCATTATACAGAAGAGCATCTTTTGGATACCCAGGAATGCTCCCAGACAATGACAAGGAGCAAGGGTGGCACATGATGACAATAGACATACCCTCCCACACACACCTAACATAAGCAAAACACAACACACTTTTCGGTTGTAGAGGTCCCTCACCCCTGATTCACGACAGGGGGACAGCATAAATATGATCTCGTGACTCCCCGATCCCCCACCCAGCAGGCAAGGCTTTCCTCTCTACAGCTAGAGAGAAGAGATGTCTCCATTAGCCCTCCTTATAACTGCTTCCTCTAGTAACACAGGACAAAAAAATCTATAGGATGTTTCTTTTGCTTTTAAGCATTCTAGACTTCTGCAGTTCAAGGTTTCTAAATGAAATAAAAGTGGACATCCATGCTCATGGAGTAGTGGGAAAACCAAGGTAAAATCCTAAGGAGAGAAAATGCTTGCAAGAGAGACATTGAAAGAGAGAACGAGCATGCTAGACCTTTGTCAGGAAAGACATAGCCTTACCTTGTAGATATGGCCATAGAGCCAATGAGCAGGGGGACCTGGGAAATCTCTGAACGCATTGAGTAGTTTTTGCCTTCTCTGAAATAGGTGGATAATCATCAGAACCACACAGGTAAGGATCAAGCCAACAGTCAGACGAAAAAGCTGAGAGATGCTTCCAGGTAGACAGGACCACCATGAGGTATTTATTTGATTCCCCATCTCAATCATTTTCTAGCGTGCTTGTTTCTGATTTCAGACTAAGCACTGGAAGAAAAATCCTACTTGGTTAATGCCTGTTCCATTTATAAGAACAAAGTCCTGGCTTGAGAAACTAGGCAGCTCATTAAAATTCCACCTCCTTATCTTATTCATTGAACGCCTCCTGGTATTTATCTGCTCCTCCTGTCAAAGAGCTAGATGTAGGTGTCTGTCATTGCAATATTATTTTAATTAATCATATAGGGCACAGAATTCTAGCACAGTATTATATTCTGGGGTTTGGGTCATCTTTTCTGGAGTGCAAATTGAAAGAATTCTCTGAACATGTAGTGCCCCCCCCCAATTGTACAGCCAATTTGGTACTGATCCAAGGTCAAGTTTCAAAGTTCTGAATTTTTGTTTGGGCACCCCTATTTTTTTGAGTTATCTTTTGAAATGCTGAATTGCTGTCGTGCAATACAAATTGTTGCACAAGTATGACAAACTCACTTAAGGCAACTGAAACACATAGGGATCTTTAGGCTTAGGCAAATATAGGGAGTAGCCTCTGCAGCTTCTATCCTTGTCAAAAGCTGGACTTATTAAAGGCCTATTTATAAGGGCAGGGTGCACTGTTAACAACATGGGATTTTGGCTGAGAGTTTTGACTTCTTGTCTCTATTGTCAAGTGTTCTATGCCTATTTAACAACATAACCAGCTGCTTTGTAACTTTTCCAGATGTGACTTAAGAAGCACTCTTTGTAGCTATACAATATTAAATTGTCAAACATTTGTTGTGAATTGGAAGCTGAGGATGTTTTGGTTCAAAGTTTTGTTTTATTTGAGAATTTATTTGATTTCTTCCAATTTGCTACGTGATTGTTTTGTCATACTCCACATTTGGTGGACTACCAAATGCATCAAGATTGCTGTGAAAGAAAAGGAGAGAAATTATTTCATGATTTTTTTCAGATATTCAGTGGGAAACACTTAATAATGCAATCCAAAGGTGCAGTTACATTATGAAAATTAATCAATATTATGAGTTTTTATGGATTATGAGTTTTGATATTGAATTGAAGTGGAATGTTAGTCACATGGTATTTGAGTTGGGAAAACTTTATTCCATTTTTAAGTTGTGCCATCTATTGATTTAGGTTCTTCTTCTTCTTTTTTTAAAAAAACGGTTACAATTGAAGTTTTGTCCTGTGCCCACCTGGCCTCCCTCTCTCATTCTGACTGCCTCCTACCCACTCTCTATTTTATTTCTATCAAAGTGAAATAGCACTAGCATGACATGACAGATGACCAGAAGGGAAAGAGCCCAGTGGGCAATTGCAGTAAATCAAGCTCTGGAGAGAGACGCCTCCTTACATGTCCTGCCACCATCCGCCGCTACTGCAGCTCTTCAGAACTGGAACCACACAATCGTTGTGTGTAATGGTGCAGCCAATTCCGTTTCCCTTTCCTTGCTCTGCCACCACTCTCTTTCAGGACTTTCTCAGGACTGTTTGCAATGCACGACCTTTGGAAGTGGCCCAAGTCCCACAGAATATGCGGTCCTCACTCACATAAAAGTGGACTGAAGTGGAACCCACTTTCATTACCACAGCTGAACAGATTTGGGGATGCTGATGCTCAGATGGAACCTTTCTGAACAGTGCAGGGCACGCTCAAGACCTTTTGCTGCTTGAGGCAGAACAGCACTTAGGATTCCCCACCCCACCCGCTAATCCATGATACAAAGTATTGAAAACTGTTCATGTGATTTTTGGTACCCAGCTTAGGAAATTCCACCTGCATCTTTAACATCTTCCCTTAGCATTAAAAATACAATAATAGCAAATTGAATTTATTTGTTTGTTTGTTTCTTTGTTGTACTCTTTCCATTAGTGCCAAGGAACAACTCTGAGCAGTTTACAATAAAAAAGCAACACAAAAGAAATAAAAATAGAACTGTTAAAGCCATAAACAATCAACCATTGTGGTGGCACTGATACAATAATGCAGAGAAATGGGGGGCAAAAAAGAGCAGTCTATTAGGCTTGGTATGGACAACCTTCCTGAAAAACCACCTTTGTTTGCCTCTTAAATTGCCTCTCCTCTTAAACAGGGAGAGGGACAGACAAAGCTTCTCTGGAAGCTGATTCCACAAAATGGAGTCGACACAAAGAAGGCCCTACTTCTTGAAGATGACATGAGTCTGCCTTGGAGTGGCAACACAGAGGAGCCTCGCCTGTGATGATCTGGTGCATTAGGCAGTTGACATTGGGCAAAGATGTTCCAACAAGTAACACAGTCCTAAACCGTGGAGGGTTTTATATGTAAGTGTCTAAACCTTGAACCTGACATAGGATGCAACAGGTAACCAGTGAAGATGAACCAGAACTGGAGTGATGCAATCAAATTTGTTTGCACCAACCAACAATGTGGCTGCCACATTCTGGACCCAGTGCAGTCTCTGGATCAGACTCAAGGGAAGCCCCACATAGAGAACTTTGTGGTAGTCAAACCAAGAGATGACCAGCACCCTCATCTAGATAGGAATGGAGTTGGATTATTAGCCTAAGCTGGTTAAAGCTGATCTGGAGCCAGCTGTGATCTGGGACTCCCGACAAAGAGCTGGGTCCAGAAGGATGCCCAAATTTTGTACTTGGTCCCCAAATGGGAGAGCAATGTCAAGGGACAATCCCCAAACCTTTCATGGGGCAGGAGCAAAAGCTCTGTCTAGCATCTGGAGAGGAGAGAATGAAGACATAGAGTTGTATGTCAGCAGTGTACTGATGACACCTTATTCCAAATCTCCTGATGACCTCCCCCAGAGGCTTCACATAGATGTTAAACTGCATCAGGGATAATGCCGAACCCTGAGGGGATGGTGCCATCAGAGATAATGCTGAAACCTGCACCTCAGGGTCCTGGGGGCCCAACATATCATCCTCTAGCAGAGCTCTCTGCACACAAATCTCGAGGAAGGATTGGAGCAAGCTCAATGCTATAGGTCACCAATCCCAATCTCCAAAAGCCAGTCCAGGAGGATACAGTGGCCGATGGTATCAAAAGCTGGCGAGAGATCCAAAAGCAGCATCAGCATACATCTGCCACTGTCAGCCTCCCTTAAGAGGTCATCCTGTGGCACAACCAATGTCTCAACATTTGCTGCTCTCTAAACTATTTGATGGTAGGACATAGCTGTATTTGGACCCAGCTGTGCCTTGCTGGATCCCAGAGAAGAGAAAATGTCCCTTAAGAGATTGAGACACAGTTCAGTAGTAGTGGGAGAAAGCACACCTATTTTTCAATTTTGAGGTCTAGATTTATTTATTTATTTATTTATTTATTTATTTATTTATTTATTTATTTATTTATTTATTTATTTATTTATTTATTTATTTATTTATTTATTTATTTATTTATTTATTTATTTATTTATTTAACTTATATGCCACCCACACTCCCCAAAGGTCTCTGGGTGGCTTAACACATTAGAATGGTTTGATTTTTCTTTCTCTAACTCCTCCGGCATCGAACCCTGACAGACTTCCTGAATGAACTGCAAAATCCTAAGTATATTCACCTCTCAGTAGACATTGACAGGATTTGGCCATTACTGAGTTTCCCCAACTTCTAGTGATACACATATTACCAAATGAATCTGAGGTAAAACTGTGAAATTCAGCTAAGATTCATAGATCATCTTCCCCTCATTTTTATCCCACTCCCCATCACAGGAAGCCCTGTTCATCCCTCACTAGTTTTATAATTTTGGGGACAAAGGTTGGAAACTTTTAGGAGAAACTGTTCACATCTTCCAGTTTTTGACGTGCAACTTAAAGTTGTCTTTTTCCTGGGTTGAGGGGGTGGAATGATCCATATACTTACTATATTTAATATTCTGATATATTTACAGGAGTATTTCAGATGTCAGTGCATCTGATCTATACATTCATTTGGCTGAAGGTTCCTGGTACTTCCTTTCAACACAGGAAACAAACATGAAAAAACCTTGTGATATTTGTGTAAAATCTAAATGGTGTAATGAATAATGCCTTCATCAGATGACTAAAATCTCAAAAACAAACTAGCTTTCAAATTTTGCATGGTCTTCATCAGGCTGGACATTATTTTTCTGTTTCTTTGCCTTTTGAGGCTCTGCTGGCCTCAAAAACTAGCCTGTTGGAGAGATATTGGTGATATAATAAAGGTGCCACACGTCTGAGAGAAAAGGAGTGGTGTAAAGATTTCATTTAATACTTTCAGCGATGACCTTGGGAAGATTCCTTATGCAACCATGTGTATAAAGGAAAACTTAAATCTTTTTCCTCCAGTACTTGCACTGTTCCAACAGTTTATCAAACCCACAACTTTTTGTGATGGACACACCTTGCCTGAAGGTTAGTTCAATCTTCTGTGTGGGCCACAATTTACTTTCTGAAAGGGCCTTTTCTAGGATGCATTAATAGCTGAGTTATGTTCCAACCAAAGTTAAGCACTTTCAACCTTTTATGGTTTGAATTTAGGAGACTAGAAGTATTGAGCTTGACTGCTTTGTCCCCTTTTACACAAAAGGTTTGATGGGTCCTGACTGTGCAATGGATTTTTGTTCATACTAATTACAGTGGTGCCTCGCAAGACAAATTTAATTCATTCCGCGGTTAATGTTGTCTTGTGAAAAATTCATCTTGCTAAAAGGGTTTTCCCATAGGAATGTGTTGAAATCTAATTAATGTGTTCCTATGGGCAAAAAAAAGTCAGAACAAAGTCAGATTTGGTTTACAAAGTGTTTATTAAGTGCTCTTTAAAGCCATACATATTGTGCAGATGATTTTTAAAAATTCAATCAAAAAACTTTTTAAACATCATAGAAAAACATTTAAAAATCGGCAAACATGAGGCAGGAGCAAAAAACGGAAAACATTCGTCTTGCGAAGCATGGCCATAGGAACATTAGTCTTGCGAGTCATCAACCCCATTGCCAAAACCATTTGTCTTGTGAGTTTTTTGTCCTGCGGGGCATTTGTCTTGCGAGGCACCACTGTATTTCTTTATTATGGTTTCAACAATTATGGACATTTCAGCCACACATTTAAAAACATTTGGACAAAGAAAGTATTCAGTTACAGTTCTTGGATATTGAGATTACAGTAATTCTTGCAGGCACATTAGTAACAATTAGCATTTACTGCATCCACCGAAATCCAAGCGTATGGCCAGACCCAGAGGTAACTCCTAATTGGATAAAACCAGACAATACCATCATAACTAGTTTCAAAAGCATGATATAACAAACCCTAGCCAGGATGAGCAAACTGACAGCTCCACAGAGGCATTTTTGTGCCTCTCTGGGAGCTTCACGGAGCTCCTGGAGATTGAAACAAAATTCAGGTATTTCCTCTGTAGTTAGTTCTTTAAATAATGACTAGCTTTAGGCTTTCCTTGGCTTGGTGTGGCTTGGAGGGCTGGGGACTGATATCTTGCCCCCAGGCTTTGCCTTTCCCTAATTAAAGATCAATTAAAGGTGATTGCAGGTGAGGCTTATATCACACCATTGCCAGAGTCACTCATGGAAATTTCCCAAGGCTGAGACAGAGTTTGGAAATGATTCTTGATACTTTGTTTTGTTACTGTAAATTCATTGCTACTGTTTAAATACTAATTCTTTCATTCAGAAACAGTGTGATTGGAAGGCCAGGGAAAACCACCATGTTATATCTCCCTCGCATACATGTTATGTGTAGACAGAAATGTAAAAACGCGCTGTGCTCCTGGCAGATTTTAAGTGGCCAGAAGATGCTAAAGAAAATCTGGAGAGAAAGTTAGATTAGGAGTGTATAATGCTCTGATTATGCATTTTAAAGGGGGGGGGGACATGATGTGGTAAAAGTAGACAGGTACAGATAGATGAATGTACTTTGTTTTATTCGGACCCAGCATCGTTATGAAGTTGCATTCATAGTAACAAAAGATGTGAGGGCAGCCATTTAAATTTGGAATGAGTAATGTTTATTCATCTAAAGGGAAATTCTACAGAAATCAAGAACAGATAATTATATTGCCCAACTATGAACAAACATTAACAATAAAAACAACATTGGGACTTTGGGAACAATATCAAGAAATTTCACACAGTAGTATAAGCAGTTGCAGATCTCAGAAATCCCACCATCAGAGCTACAAAAACCAGCAATATTAGGAACAGCATACATACTGTGTCGATATTTAACAGATACTTAGGGTTTTGCTTAAAGTTTGTATCTGTCATATAATACCAGTCAATGTTTTTATAATTTTGACTATGCCTGGAGGTTTTCAACAACAACAACAACAGATACAAGTTTTAAACAAACACCTAAGTGTCTGTGAAGTTAAAACTCATAACAGATAAAAGTTTTAACTTAACAGATACTTAGAGATTTTTTTTATTAAAACTTGTATCTGTTATACAATAGCAGTCAATGTTTATATAATTTGGACTATGCCTGGTTGTTTTTTTTAATAATGATAATGATGATGATGATGTGCCAGAGGCCTGAGGATAAAGGAAAGATACAATTTAAGAAAACAGCAGGAAAAAAGGACCACAGATCTAGAAGAAAATACTAAAGAATTAGAAGGGCTTTTTATAATATTTAGAGATTCTTATATACTGTTGGAGTAACAAGTTAAAAAGAAAGAATTAGAAGGTATCTATTGAGAAAAAAATGCAAATGAATTGAGAGGTGGGGCATCGTCGACGTGAAGATCACATGCACTCGAGTCTTGCTCCTGGGACATACCGATCCCCACCCAGCTGGAGAGGCCCCAAGAGGGATCGGAAGACATCTTTCAGGAAAGGAAGATGTTGAGCAATTGGTGGCAGCAATTTGAGTCTGGATGATTAGTGAGAATCATAGAATCATAGAAAACTGAAGTTGGAAGGGGCCTACAAGGCCATCAAGTCCAAACCCATGCTCAGAGCAGGAATACAATCAAAGCATATCTGCCAGGTGATTGCTGTATTTTTCCGTCTATAAGACACTACTTTTTCCTAAAATCATTACATTAAAAATTGAGGAGCGTCTTATACATGGAAGTAAACTGAGAAGAGAACAGAACAGCCAGTGCCTTGCCTCTGTAAACAGGCTTCCTTCAATCATGAAGCATAGCTTCCTACAGTCAGGAGACTTAGCTTCCTCCAGTCACAAGCCTTATGGAACTGATGTCAGCTGATTCTGAACAAACCAATTGGAACACACCTCATTGGAGGTGGAACCTGTAGGTTCAGATTAAGACTCAAAATATCTGATGTTCTGTGCCCAGAGGTTGAATCCTCAAAGCTAAGGTTTTTTAATTTTGGGGTTAGAAAATTGGGGGGCATCTTATAAATGGGGGTGTGTTATAAATGGAAAAATACGGTTTCTAAGTTTTTCTTGAATGCCTCCAGTGTTGCAGCACTCACCAAGTCCTGAGGTAACTGGTTACACTGTTGTACTGCTCTAACAGTTAGGAAGTTTTTCCTGATATTCAACCGAAATCTGGCTTCCTTTAACTTGAGCCCATTGTTGCATGTCTTGCACCTTGGGATGATCGAGAACAGATCTTGCCTCTCTTCTGTATGAACTGAGATATCTGGCTCAGAAGCAGACATCTCAAACATCAGCTGGAAAAGGGCCATCTTGGCACAAAGCCTGAAATGCCCTGAGGCAGAATGTGAGCAAAACCGAAAGAATTCTGAAAATATACTGCAAACAAAATCAATAAAAGAGGACCAGAAACAGTAAGCTAAAACAGTTATTGGATTTATGGGAGTACTGAGATTAAAAACAACCCGCAAGCAAAGAATGGGAGGAGGAGAGAGGCACATGAATATTGGATGAAACTAAATGAGCTTGAAGCGGGCCCTCTGCTTCCCTAGCTACAAAAGGAGGTGATTTCTTAAAACAATCTATAAAGAAATAAGCACACTTGCTGTCTCTATAACAACTTTGGAGAAGGTTTTCAATGTGAGGTTTTTTTTATTCTACATATCCTCCTACCATCCCCACCCCATATTCCCCACCTCTATCCTACCTTGTGTGAAAGTGCCGGACTATGTTGAACTATAATTGGAGCCAGGGGGAGAAAGGGGAGATGATTCAAGGCCAGAATAAAAAGGCATCTCTGTGAATTATTGCTGAAGGAGTAATAGGAAGGGAGAAACTACTGATAACAGATGTTGCTGAGAAGAGGCTCTGGGAATGTAACAAACTCATAAAGTTCAGACTATTTTACTTAGACTGTGAGAGGTGGAAGAATCAGAGGGAAGGAAGAGATAACTGATAGTGAGGAAGAAAGTAATGTAAACACGGGACATAGAAGAAAATAAAAACAGACTAACAGTGACATTTACTGGATTTTCAAGAGAAGACTGAAGAAAGAAGAAAACAGACAAAGACTATTAACTGAATTTCCATTCCTATTTTAACAGAACATAGAAACATAGAAACATTGGGACATTGATAGGTGTGATATACTGATAATACTGAATGATCTGATTGTCAAATGGGAATCTTGTTTTAGGTGCAATATATTAATTTGAAGATACCCTGCAGAAAGCTTAGTTAAAATGGCCACAAAAGCATCAGGTAAAACACACAAAGGATCTCCTGCAACCAATACATCTCTGGCCAACTTAATGAATCAAGAATCTTTGAGAGATTGGCAGCAAAACCTCCAACAAAGCCTTGAAGCCCTAATACATTAGCAATTGCAGGAAATTTGAATGAAACTTTCTCAATAAATTAAAGAATTTGGGAAGCAGATTATAGCGACAAAGCAACGGGGGGGACAAGAGAAAAGTCACAAAGATATCGCAAATAGACATAGGGACAAATATAAAAATAAATCAGGATATTCAACGAATATCCCTGATTTGTCAGATATTCCTTGCTTCATATTCATGGAGTCCAGAGACCATGGCAAATACAAAGCAATGAATATAACCCTTTTATATCCATCCCTTCATTCCCTATTGGCTTATGCCCCCTTGGATCAGCTGTTCCTCAGGGGCATAAGCAGAGAGGGATTTTTTCTTCCAGCAGCTTGCTAAAGCCTGTCAGAAGGGAAACCTATCCTCGGGGGCTGGGGATGGCTTGGATAGGGCTTTCCCCCTCTTTCTATACTTCAGTGGCATAGGAAGAGGGGGAAAGCTGATCAAAGCAACCTCCAGCAGTGGGAAAGGGATCAAAGCAATCTCCCAGTAGTGGGAAAGGGATCAAAGCAATCCTTTGCAAAGGCAGTGGGCTGGTTGATGGCTTGGATTGGGCTTTCCCCCTCTTTCTATGCCCGGCACCATGTTCTATAGATGGTATATGATTTTTTAAAAAAGTAATCCCCCACAAATCGACGAATAAATTCATGCTTCATCGGTTCATGGGGGGGTAGCTTCATGCTTCATCAACTTTGATGAATCATGAAGCAGAACGACTCACCGAAATGGTGAGTCGTCTTCATCTCTACTTTGGAATAATTGATGCATAATAATTATCAGAAGACAGTGTTGCCCAGCAGCTGAATAAATAATGCATGTAGATGACTGATCTGTTTTTATTTTATTTTATATGCTCATTATCATTTAAAATATCTGTTTTTTGTTAAGAGTATTCTCTTGAACAATATGAACAGCTTGCATAATAGCAGGCTGAAGACCACAGCTGCATCGACTTCCAAGGACTTGTCCAGACAAATAAAAAGGAGCATATTGTTTCACTCTTCTTCTCTCCACTGTTATGTTATTTGCAGGGCTTATACTTTCCTGAATCCACAGTGAAGATATCTTTTATGCCGGGATATCCTAAGGCTCCTTTTCACAAGTGGGGGTTGGGTGACAGTACCATGGCCCCATCCCAATCTGCACTCCCTTCCTTGATTTTCTGCTCTGTTCTCTGTCCCTTGTACCCATCCGTCCTCCGTAACCTTCTTTGGTCCTTAGACACAGTTCTACATTTGGAAGGGTTCTATGTCTCGCATAAGTAATTTCCCTCCAGGTTGTTGCAAGAGGAGAGCAGGTATGGAGGAAGTTTCTTCAGCTTCAGGTACATCCCATTCTCAGGAGATGTGACAATTTGAACCACAGGAGTTGCTGGCTTTGCTGGGTCTAGTTTCAGTTCAAACTTGAGCAAAGTCAAAGCAAGAGCCACCTTCATTTCTGTGAGGGCAAACTGCTGCCCTATGCAGTTCCTGGATAAAAGAAAAAAAAGGGGGGTGAGACAGTATTACATTTTGAAAGATATAAAAATAAAACATTCAACAAAAAACAAAAAGAAGAAGAAAGAAAGAAAATGTGTAAGAAAAGAAGGGGGTAAACACATTTTGCAGCTCTCCCACTTCAAGTGCAAAGAAAACAATTTTCATGCTGAATGAATGCTTTAACCTCCTGTGAATCATTTGCAAGGTAACTAGCTTCATGTGTGCATGCATGTGAGTTACTGCCAACTTTTTCCTCTGGATTTCCCTCTCGTCCTACACTCTGCTCACAAGTGTCTGCTCTGCCACAACAACAGACACCGCTTCCTCCTGGCAGGAGGGATTATAGAACCTGAACTGTTCATCAGTTTTCTTGAGAAAACTGTAAGTCACCCTGTTGCAAACTATCCAGCACAACATATAAAATGAGTCTCGCCATATCAAAAGCCACAATAAATTGTCCAGTAACATGCCTCGCTAGACAGTTACCCCGCATGACAGTTTTTTCGCTAGATATTGACTTTTTGTGATCGCTATAGTGATTCGCAAAACAGTGATTCCTATGGGGGAATTTCACTGGACAATGTTTCGTCCCTGTTTCGCAAACCAATTTTCGCTAGACAACGATTTTGGCAGCTCCCTCCGTGCTCCCAAAATGGGTGTTTTCAGGACCTAAGCTTCGCAAGACAGCTATTTAAACAGCTGATCGGCGGTTTGCAAAGGGGCTTTCCTATGGCCGATCTTCGCTAGACAATGACAATCCTTTCCCATTGGAATGCATTAAACAGGTTTCAATGCATTCCAATGGGGAAATGCTTTTCGCTAGACGATGATTTCGCTAAACAGCGATTTCAGTGGAACGGATTATCATCGTCTAGTGAGGCACCATTGTAATAAGTGTTGAATATAAACACAGCAAAATATAAAGACAACAGTGATTACTAACAGTATATTCCAAAATAGCTGAGAACAACTTAAGCTGGCACAAAAACTATTACCTGCAGAAAGAAAATTCCCTCAGCAAAATTTATTGTATGCAGGGGAAACAGTTTGAAATGAAAGTTTACTGTTATGCTAAAATGGAAAAAGGAAAAGTAAGCCAGGTAAAGGTTGCTGGGAGTATGAATGCTTCCATGGTATAACTTAAGGCTGACATTTACCTTCAATTTGGCCTTAGCACCTGGAGTGAAGAACATGGTGTATCTTTCTGTGCCCCTACATAGACTGCTGCATGTGTGTACGAAGCTGAGGCCTACATACAAGAATTAATGCATGTATGGATGTGAAAATTCTGGTCTGTAGCTCTTCCATGTCCTAGGATCAAGCAGGAGTTTGGCCACTCTTCATTTTTTTCTTACATGAAAAGGGAATGGGGACTCGGCTGTGCTTCTTCCGAAAAGCTTCTTCAAATTCCAAAGCCTTTTGCAATGTCAGACTCAGAAAGTGTGCCCCACAGAAAGTGTGTGGTTGTCATGGCAGGGGCTTTTCCCACTTTCTGTATCTTGCAAATTAGCTTGCTCTGTGCTGTGACTGGTCATCTGGAGTTCACCGTGGCTTTGTATGCAGGTCTGATTTCTCAGACATTAAGGTTTTCATGCACCACATGGCTATAACCCAGCTCAGGACAGATTATCTTCAACATAGTTTGACCCTCAGATATACCTAGATATGTATCTCCATATTCTGTCCTAATGTTAGCTTCTGGTCCACAATACAAGTTACACATCAGGAAAAACTTGTCCTGAGATACACCCATTTCTTTCAGAACAACCTATAATTTCTCATGATCTACACAGCCAAAGGTTTTGCTGTACTCTATAACAGTGGTCCCCAACCTTGGGCCTCCAGATGTTCTTGGACCGCAACTCCCAGAAGCCTTCACCACCACCTCTGCTGGCCAGGATTTCTGGGAGTTGAAGTCCAAGAACTTCTGGAGGCCCAAGATTGGGGACCACTGCTCTATAACACAGACATTGATTTTTTTCCAAAATTATTTGGTGTGCTCCAGTAGCAGAGGATATTTCCAATATGATCTCAAATGCCTCTTCCTTTTCAGAATCAAACTTGAACAGCAGGTGTTTCTCACTCCACTGTCTGTTTCCAGACAGGGAACATAACTTTGCTTGTTTGTGAAATTAAAGTGATGGTCATATAGTTACTGCACTCCTTCGTATCTCCTTCCTTAGAGTTCAGGATGCATATTGGGAATTTCAAGTCTCTGGGTCATTGTTTTACTTTCCATATTTAATGTTAGGATTTTGATATTGTAGTTTGGAACAATTCTATCAGTATTCCATCTATTCTTAGTGACTTATTTCTTCCTATTGCTTTCAGAGCAGCTTTCACATTGTTTTCTAGAACTGTTGGAATACTGTATAATATGAACATAAGAACATAAGAAAAGCCCTGCTGGATCAGGCCAAGGGCCCATCTAATCCAGCTTCCTGTACCTCACAGTGGCTATACCAGATACCTCTGGGAACACATGAGACAACTAGATACTGTACCTGTCTCCTGATACCACTCCTCTGCATCTGGCATTTTGAAGTACCATCCTTTTGAGCCTAGAGATTATACATCCCCATCATGGCTTGTAACCTGGAACAGACTTTTCCTCCAGGAATCTGTCCAATCCCCATTTAAAAGCATCTAGGTCAGATGACATCACCACATCCTGTGGCAAGGAATTTGATAGACTAACAACACACTGGGTAAATAAATGTTTTCTTTTGTCTGTTCTCAGTCTCCCAGCACTCAATTTGATATTTGTAATTTGTTCTGTTTTAATGCCACTCAATTTGAGTGGATGTCCCCCGGTTCTGGTATTGCGATAGAGCTTCCCTCTATCCACTTTATCCATCCCCTGCATAATTTTATATGTCTCAATCGTGTCTCCCCTCAGGCACCTTTTCTCTAGACTAAAGAACACCAAATGCTGTAGCCTTTCTTTATAAGGGAGGTACCCCAGCTCAATAATCTCTTCTGCACCTTTTCCAGTTCCACTCTGTCTTTTTTTGAGGTGCAGCAACCAGAACTGTATGCAATAATCCAGGTGTGGCCTTACCAGCATTTTGTACAATGGCATTATAATGTTGGGTGTTTTATGTTCAATCCCCTTTTTAATGATACCTCGCATGGAATTGGCCTTCTTCACTGCTGCCACACTCTGGGTTGACACTTTCATCAAGTCGTCCACCAGCACACCAAGATCTCTTTTCTGATCCGTCATGGACAGCATCAGAACCCATCAGTTTTGATTTTTTGCCCAATAACGAATGCCTACAATATGAATCCTACTAAGATTCAAGCCATATTATGATCTAAGGGGACTTGAACCTAGGTAAAATGAGAGCTACTCTTAAGTAAATGATGTGTCTGTAGAAGCACACTATAATTCATGAATGGTCACACTGAAAAAATGTTACCCTTAAATATGTCAGTCATTTTGTTTTTGATGCCTGAAGTAAATCTGAATAGGATCTCCCCACAATTGCCGGTAATTTCTCATCATCATCTATTTAAGGAAGTAACACACTATGCATAAGAGGGCCCTGGTATGGACAACTTGTCAATTCATGGCAAAATTGCTTTGCTGCATGAAAATAAACAAATAAGAGGGATGGACACTCTCAGCTAAACTAGATGTGCAGTAATAAGCCACTAAATATCAGTACCTTGACCCAGCAGAAAAAGGTATGAAAGCATAGGGATGCCGTGAATGGGAATTCTCTGGGGAAAATCTCATGGGATCAAATGCCTGAAAGAGAAAATGCAAAATATAAGTCTCTCAACTGAGGTAACAATGGGTTTTGTGGTCACTCTGCCAGATATGTGGGAACCATTGATACATGTATCAGTTCTGGTACACAGTCAAAATGTACTTTTCAAGTATTTTTAGCCGCACCCTGAAATGCAAACCCTGCATTTACTGAGAGGATTGAAACAGCTATCTACACATGCAGGATTTTTGGACACTTTCCTACAAACTGCCTAACTAGGTGTTCCAAGCATATGTGAGTAACCTTTCCTTCATTGCTTTATTAAAATGCTAAGGGAAGGGTTTTAAAATTGACTTCAGGAATAGAAATATGTCATGTTCAGGTTTATTTTCAATCAACATTTTGCTCAGGTGCTTTCCTTTCTGTTAGAAGAGGACACTGAACAGGTTGATGAGAAATCCTCTTTCAGTCTTCCCACTAAATACTGCTGAAGAGCCTTGTGGCTCAGTGATTAAACCACTGTACTGCAGCCAAAACTGTGCTCATGGCCTGGGGTTCAATCCCAGGTAGGTGGCTCAAGGTTCACTCAGCCTTCCATCCTTCCAAGGTTGGTAAAATTAGTACTCAGCTCATACAACGCTTGGTGGGGGGGGGGGGATGTGTAGCCTGCATAATTAACTTGTAAATTGCCCAGAGGGCGCTTGAAGCACTATGGGGCGGTATATAAGCAACACGCTTTGCTTTGCTTTTTGCTTTTTCATTAATTAAAAAAAAGTTGGAGAAAACTAGGTACCTCAGGATTGTTCCATATTTCAGGGTTTCTGTGGATGCCATATATACTTATTCCAACCAGGAGGTCTGAATGGAAGAAGAACAATTCATTGTAAAGCAATGTATAACATTTGCTGCATGTTTAGTCTATAATCTCAGTATGGATGCTGGCGATGCTGTACACTGAAACACCAGCTGTACTCTTTCTTGGGGAGAAATGGTCAGGCCACTGTTGCTCATCCCTTCGTAGTACTGAAAATGAACTACTACGATAAGCTTTCTATGCAGGTATTTGTGGAAAATATTCAGAGAACTAAAAGGCTGGTCTAGAACTGCCCCGTCCGGATAGTAAAAGGAGCTACTATCTGAAGCATATGAAGCTGACATAGTAGATCCAGTAGATTCTGGATGCACTTCAGAATTCTGGATTGGCTTGTAAAAACAAATTGGGCTTGGAAAACCTGGATACTTCAAAAACTGCCTTTCAATCAAGTGCAAAAGAATATAAATGAATGGAGATTGGCATGTACCACTGGTTTGTCTTTCAGATGAAGAGGTTTTTGGCATGTACCACTGGTTTGTCTTTCAGATGGTTTTTGGCAGTTCCCAGCCCCCCTCCTCCAGCAGGGGCCCATTCTAAGGTAACACCCAGAGGAAAGGGCAGGGAAGCCAAGGTACTGCCTCTGAGTTGGCGCCCAGCAGAGGATGTGGGGCTGAGAACCAGTGAACAACTGTTCATCCAAAGGACAAACCAATATGAATCACCAAATTGGTGGTTCTTGCAAGTCTGTATAAAGGAACAAACTCTGCAACATGCATGCACGCACACACACAAATTGTGTCATCTTCCCGTTACAATTTCCACATCTCATTTGGGGAAAGTGTTCAACTAACACGGTTCAGCAGTGCTATAAGCCTCTCCTCCACATGAAGCAGGACCTCTGTATATCTCCCAATTATATCTAAGACTGAATGTGATTAAAGAAGAAAGAGAAAGTTGTAACCTTCTGGGAGAGTTCTGCCATCATGAAATGTCAGAGGTTCCTTCAGTAATCGAAGCATTACACTTATGGGAGGGTAAATTCGAAGTGTCTCCTTAATGCACATGGTGGTGTATGTCATTTTCCTCAAGTGATCCCTGTAAAGAAACAGAAAAACATCAGAAAAATTCACTTCAGAATAGTCATGAACTGATTTTGTTCAGTGTCTTCCAAAATGGTCACTCCTGAGAAGAAATAATCCTGGCAATCCTGAGGAGAAATAATTCATGTTCAACAAGGAGGCCTTCTGAGCTGCCTGATTCAGGGTTTCCTGATTTTAGCTGAGGTGAAAGAAGAAAGTGCCAAAGCAGGACTGAGCATTAAGAAGACAAAATCAAGACTAGAGAAGAACTACACAGCTTAAGCATTTACAACAAAGAAATTGAAATAGATTTTGTATACCTTTATTCAATCATCAATCCAAATGGAGACTACAGTAAAGAAATCAGAAGAAAACTGAGACTCAGAAGGGCAGTAATGCAGGAATCAGAAAAGACAATCAAGTGTGAAGATGTATCACTGGAGACCAAGTATTTCCAATCACTGTCTATGGGTGTGAAAGCGCAACAGTAAAGAAAACTGACAGGCGAAACATTGATTTGTTTGAAATGTGGTATTGGAGGAGAGTTTTGTGGATATTCTGGATTGCTAGAAAGATGAACAAGTGGGTCCTAAATCAAATCAAGCCTGAACTATCTCTGCAAGCAAATATGGCAAAACTGAAGCTGTCCTACTTTCGGCACATCATGAAAAGGCAAGATTCAGTGGAAAAGACAATAATACTGGTAAAAACTGAAGGCAGCAGGAAAAGAGGAAGATCAAATATAAATAGATTGATTTTCTAAAAGAAGGAGACTTGAGTCTCCAAAGGTTGTTGAGGACAGGACATTTTGGAGATCTGTTATTTAAAGGACACCACGAGTCAGAGGTGACTTGAGGGCATCCGACAACAACAAACATGTGAATATCTCCTCTAAAAATAATAATTAAAAATTCAGACTTCATTGGTGCCTCATTCATTGCCTCATTCTGAATGACAAGATGCACGTCACATGACTATATTTCCTTTAAATCAAAAGCAAAAAACCTAGCAACAATGGGATATAATGTTGATGGAATTCTCATATTTTATTGAGTCTGGCTTTCAGGCAGAAACTATTACAGAGTTTTGAATTTCTGGTAAAATTATTAGCTGAACATGCCCTGAAACAAGCTGGCAATGAAATCTTATTTCAAAATACAGAAATACTAGACAACACCAACAATCATTATGTTAGACTACACAGGCGAGCCATTGAAATCCACAAACACCATCAGAGCTTCAACAAAAAAGAAGAAAGTTTAAAACTCAATAAAGCCTGGCTCCCAGCACTGAAAAATGCAGCCTGCAAAAAAAAAGGTCAACAAACTCTCCCCAGCCACAAGGACTGGTGATCAATGCACAAAAAAGACTAGCTAACGACACTCATCAATCACTGTGACAGACCATCTCCCCCCTTATCACAACAATGCACCAATAACCAAAAACACCCCGATCACCATAATCACCATAATTTCCTGAAAAGGACAAAAAGCTGATCCCACAGCTAAAAATACTCAACTATCCCACACACTACACCAGAACACAGACTGATTTCTAACTCCTGTCCTCTGAAGCTGCCGGCCACAGAGACTGATGAAAAGTTAGGAAGAAAAACTTTCAGAACACAGCCAAACAGCCCGAAAAACCTACAACAACCCAAATTCTTTTTGTTTCATAGTAGAAGTACAGAGATCTACAGAGGAGGATAGTTACAAGTTCCCCAGAATCCATCCCTTTCTCATTAACTGGCGCTTAAAGTCTCAGTAATTCATTCTGTGGTATTTGTAAGAGAAAGAATAAAAACATTTTTTTCGTTACAGTTGCAAACAGATCAACAGAAAAAAAAACACAACAACTTAAAAAAAGGAAATTGTCACTCAGCAGGGCTCTCTTTGAAATCAAAGGCTGGAAGGTACAAATGGTTAGTGCTGGGTAAGTAGACAATCACTTCAGCCCAGAAAAGTCTCTCCCACTCAGACAAACCACAGACAGTGTGCAAGATTGGAAATAAAACTGCCACAGAAACAGAATTATAGATAGGCCATGATTATAAAACCGTTAAGTCCTAATTGTGTATGTCACAGTGGGAACCTCTCTCAGCTCCCAGAGTAGGCAAATTAGCTTGCTACACTTCATGATTGGTCTTCAGGACTTAAAGATTGGCTTCCTTTGACAATCTATGGCATCTTTCATTAAAAGACTCAAAAGTAAAAGCTGTTAATATTCTCTATACTAGCAAACATGGTTTCTCTTCTTTCTTCCTTTACTTTATTTATATATCCCCCACACCCACTTTTCCCTACCCTTAGGTTTTTTACTGATACCCTTTATTCTTGTTATTGCTCACAGCTGGTCTTCACAATACCACGAACCCTGCTTCCCCCCTCTGTTTTGCTCTTGGCTGGTTATATGCTTTTTGTCTCCTATGTGATTGCTTACAATAGAAAATACCAAACATAGGCCATAAATTACTGCACGTGAGATGTAGCCACTCACCCAAGATTCTTAAAGCCAATGGTTTGAATGTTTTACTTTTGAAATCTGTATTTCATTTTATTCCATATGTCTGAAGAAGTGGATGTGAGCCACAAAATCTGACATTAAAATATAATAGCCTTTAAGGTACTACATGTTTTTGTCTTGGTTTTTTTTCCCCTTTGGATTTTGCCTGATAGGTTCTGAATTTGTTAGTGGACTGGAAGCCTGCCAACCATTTAAACTGATGATAATAAATAACATTTTAGCTTTTTCCTGATGAATTCTGTTGTTTTAGAACCAGTTCGGGAGGAAAACATGGCATAGGCCTTGCACATCAACACCACTTTCTTTTTCACAGATGCTCTTAGATGAGGTATATGGTAACCCACAAAATATAGGTGCATATCCCCGTCTTCAACAAAAGACAAAAGTAAAAGTGGAAATTTAAAAATTAAGTCTCACCATTTAATAGTGTCTTGGTCTTCAAGGAGGGCTTTAATCTCTTCCCTGCACTTCTGCTGGTGTTCTGGATTTTGGGCCATGCAGTAGAAGAGCCAAGAGATTGCACTAGTTGAAGTATCATGGCCTGCAGCCAGGAAAGTATCAGCCTCTGCACGTATGTCCTCATGAGGCAATGGACGTCCCTTTTCATCCTAGCAGTGTAAGAAAGCTGTCAGTTTGATGCAAAAGCAAAAACTGTCAACAAACAGCCAGATGTAATTACAGAGGGAGGCACGCTGGAAAACATGAGAACAGGAGAACTGAGTCATCACCCTCACAGATGCACTCACTTTTCCTCACTTTCCCCTCTTCTATATGTGGAAAGCAATGAGTGTCCAACGAAAATAATCTTGCTTGCATATAGACCCCATGAACAGGAAAGAACCCTAGAAAACTGGAGTTCTTTCTTGCATGTAAAATCTACATGCAAGCAGAAACATTTGTACTGCAGGCATATCAGTACGCAAGTAGAAGGTCATGATGGAGAAGGGAGGGATTGGGCACTTCCTGACTTTATCTGTGGAGGAGACAATGGAAGTCTCCCAAGATTATTAAGAAAGAACGATGTCAAACTTTCCTCCAGGCTATATCTTTCTCATTATAGTAGTCGTTCCCTCAGACTACTGTTCTTGTACTTCACTTCTCCTATTTCTCATCTCTAGAGTTTGCATTGCTTTGTTATTTCCACTTGCATTTGAAGTCAAGAAAATGTTCATTTTAGACTCAAGAGACTGTTACAAGATGAAGCACCAAAACCACATATAAAACACATGCTCTGCAGCCAAAATCTCTATAGACACTGCTAATACGTGGCCTCCAAAAGAAAGTCTCTTATACCCGCATGTACGTATATGCACAGGTCTACCATTTCTTTCAAATGCCCACAACACTAACCTTTGCCAACAGAAGAATGTCTAGAAAGTCCAAGTGCTTCTTCTTTAGGATGCTTTCATTGTTATCCTTCAATGACTTCTGTCGCTCTCTTATTACTCTGTCTGGATTAGAGATGCAAGAAAGGAGTAAAGACTATAAAATACATGTTCTTCGCTATGGATGAATAAAATGTAATTTCCTAATGGGAATCATATTTTTTGTTAGTTTGACAGGTACAGGGAATGGAACAGGTACTTTCATTTGAAATATACTGATGGATCTGTCACAATCCTACTAGATACAGATATAGATAACGGACAGTAATGGAGGACAGAAAGAACCATTGGCATCTGGTACGCAGTTCCCAGTAAACTTGTAAAATGAAAAAAATGTTTGCTATAAGTATTCCAAAACAATGAACAGCCCTGTCAGAATGAGGTCACTGAAATCATAACAGGTCTTCACAACTGCCTGCTTGTTTTGCATTTCAGTTTGTAAACAGAAATATGAATATAATTAACATTTGGCCACTGAGAACAATATTGGAATTTGAAAACATAGAACTGATATGCGATTCTGTACCACCATCTACAGGCATTAAAATCAACTACAGGAAGCTGGCTACCCTAGCTGTGAGCTAGTAGACTTGACAGCTAACACTGGCTCCATTACTTAAGCATCTGGCTGCAGAGCCAGAGGCTGGGGGTTCAATTTCCTGCTATGCCTCCTTGACAGGATCTGGCATTGATGATATATTGAGCTCCTTCCAGCTCTGCATATTATTATAATATACTTATCACTCCACTCAGACAACTAATACATTCCAGAGTTGTTTGCTTACTCAGCAAGATAAGAGAGGAAAATTGTTTGGGTTTTAGTGAAAACACAGAGTATAAATACGGGGAATAAATTACACACTAATGCCATTAGAGCAGCAGAAGAGATAGCAATAATAAACATTACATAGGCTGTAATCTGGGCAGACTGGGTGAGAATATTTTGTATTGATTTTGTGTGTGCTAGCCTGCTTAGAGGCTCAGTAATATTTGTCTTTTTATATTTTCTCATTTTTTGAATATGGATATTTCTTCATGTATTTGCAAGGAAGCTTTTAGTGCTTTCAAAGCATACGAAGCTGATGGTTTTGAAAGAAACGTTATAGAGATGTATTCTCTGCCTTTGTAGACTATAAAGTATATTTTTTAAAAAATTAAAGTATATTTAAAAATTCCTAGAATATAAAGTATACCTTAAAAAATCTAACTTAAAAAATTATATCTGATTTTTTATTGTATTCTTGATCCTGTATTTCCTGACTTAAGGAGAGAACTAGAAACCGGGTCTTCTTGGCGGTGGCCCCTCATCTCTGGAACATTTTGCCTCCCTGAGATTCACCTGGCACCCTCACTGGGAGTTTTCAAGAACAAGTGGAAGACTTGGTTCTTCAAGCAGGTTCTTCCCTCCCTTCCACTACATAGTTTCTTGTGTTTTACCATCTTAACTTTGCTCAATTCCTTTTTTGTTTTGATATTGTTTATTTTAATTCTTGGTTTTATGTTGTTCAGACTGTAAACCCTCTAGAGTAGATTCATTTAGAATCTAGATGGGCAGGGTAAAAGCTGAGTAAGTAAGTAAGTAAGTAAGTAAGTAAGTAAGTAAGTAAGTAAGCAAGCAAGCAAGCAAGCAAGCAAGCAAACAAACAAACAAACAAACAAACAAACAAACAAATAAAAATTAAGTATTTCCCAAAGGCTAAGCTCAATTTTCATATATTTGTAAATTATGTGCCTACAGTTTTATGCAACTGTATGACTTTGGGATTTAAAGATTTGTGCCTACAGTTTTTCTAACAACTGTAAGATGTTTGAATGTTATGACAACTCTGAAGTAATTTTATATTATGAAACTTAGAAGCTATGTAGATAGGAAGGCTTGAAGAAATGTAATGAGCTGGAATTGCCTGGAATTATTGCAAGAGGGAAAAGCTGTATAATTAGATACCTGAATGAATTTTGAAATGTATACCTGATTTCATTCTAGAATTAACTCTTTACTGGGTTAATTGTCAGTTGTGATGAACCACAGGCTTCTGATCTTTACCTAGGAGGTCTATGAATCTTTGTAGGACTCCCGGGGAAGTCAAGCATCTCTCAAGGATCTGACAATTCACTCTCCTTTTTCCAGGGAGAAAAAGAAACATCCCACAATGGGAACCCCCATTTTGGCATGAAAGGGGTTTCTTTTCCCTTTCTTGGATGAAGAGACAGGCGGTGATGGGCTTGCCATTGAGTAAACCAGCCTGTCCATTTCCTCTTGAAGTGGGTACTAAGGGAGAGACCTCCAAAGGGAGTGACTATGAAGGCTGCGAAGGGTTTTCACTACATTTCTCATTCCCATTCAAGGCAACCTGTTGAGGAAACCCTAATCCTCACAAAGTTGTTCTTTGCTTCCTCCCTTTGAGGTGTCCACATATTTTTGCAAAATGTTCCTGCACAGGATTGATGCTGCGTTTGAACCACAATTGAGCTTTGTTATTAATTACTCAATAAAATCAATTTTTACCTAGTCTTTTCACTAAAAAAATGCTGAAAGTGGCTTCCAGACTTCTTAAAAGAATAAGCAACTATTTTAAAAATATGATCTCTCTTTTTTAACTTCTAAAATTTTGCTCTTTTGAAGCTAAGCGTTCATGCACAGCAAGCACAGGACTGATTGAAGAAAAAGATACAAAAAAGGTATCAGGCCTATCATCTTTTAAAAGTCCATACAACACTCTTGTAGTTTATGGTTAAAGGTGGGGATAGGCTGGCCAAGCTCTTGCACAGATTGGAGTGCTGCCAGAGAAGAAGGACCCTAATAGTGTGCAAAGAATGGTGAGTGGGCCAGCCAGCAGGTGGAGTGGGAGATGGACCGCATGAGACCTGTGGTGCCCCGTGAGGCGCTTTGTGCAAAGTGGTTCATCAGGCTTTATGCCCATGTCTAACGGAGAACAATCAAGAAAATCTCATAGTCTGCTAAATGAGGAGAAAATGTTTTACGCTTCTTGTTCTTACATACAAGGGCAAGCTAATTTGGGATTTACATCCTTGGGAGTGACTAAGAAATTTCAAAATCATATGCAGCAGGTATCTATGCCAGTTATCTATGTAGACCTATCTGGTTTTAGAAATGGGCCATTTGTATTTTGGACTCTATTTCTGGGAATTCTAGCCCACAGACTCACATCTACAGTAACCAACAGATGCCTACACTTCACCTACCTGGACCAGGGTCTACCACGGAGGCTGCACAACTCAAGCACCACTTTCTGTTGGCAATGTACAAAAAACGAAATTCCCACAGTGCTTCCTGGGTTTTGTAGTTCTTCAGGAGGCAGCCTCCAAAGAGCCTTGGGGAAGAAGACTACGATTTCCAGAAAGTGCCATGGTGCCTTCCTTTTTTGTACAGCAGCAACAAGAAGCAAGGACCACCATGCAGCCTCCAAGGTGGGTCAACAAGTGACATGTAGGTGTGAATCCGTGGGCTTGAACGCCCAGAATTCTGCCAGGAGAACTTTGAGAGCTGGAGTTCAATGAATGAATGCTACGCCTTGGGGAAGAAGACTACGATTTCCAGAAAGTGCCATGGTGCCTTCCTTTTTTGTACAGCAGCAACAAGAAGCAAGGACCACCATGCAGCCTCCAAGGTGGGTCAACAAGTGACATGTAGGTGTGAATCCGTGGGCTTGAACGCCCAGAATTCTGCCAGGAGAACTTTGAGAGCTGGAGTTCAATGAATGAATGCTACTGCCTGGAAGGAAGGAA